ATGTTTCTATATGCCACCATTACACATTACTGACTTTGTGTCTTCTTTCTCCCGTAGTGTGTCCTCTCTCTCTCCCTGTACCTTTCTGCAGGTTGCCCTGGCCCTGGAGCTCTACATCTCTGACGAGCAGTCACCAGCCACATCGACCTGATCAGTGTTTGATTGTTGTGTCTTGTTGCTTTTCTTCTTTTCTCTCTCCTCTATCCACTCACCCCAACCGGTCGAGGCAGAAGGCCGCCCACCAAGAGCCGGGGTCTGTCGGAGTTTTCTTCCGTAAAAGGGGGTTTTTCCTCCCCACTGTCGCCAAGTGCTTGCTCAAGGGGGATTTGTTGGGTTTTCCCTATGTAATAATATTGATAACAGTAAGGTCTAGAACTTACTTTGTAAAGTGTCCTGAGATGACTTTTGTTGTGATTTGGTGCTATACAAATAAAATTTGATTTGATTTGATTTTGATTTGAAAAATCTGTCTTCCAGCATTCATCCTGCAGCTTTCACTGTGCTTCCAATATTCTCATTGTTCTTCCAAGAAAGTCTCACATGAGGGGGGCAGGGGGATCTGCACCTGACAGATCTACTTATAGTTGCAGGTGGTTTTGTTTCTGTCCATTTAAAACATGATAAATAGTTGTAGTTTATAGGTTTTAGTCACTAGCAAGGCATTAGGCTACAGAAGTCCAGCTCCTGTGGTTTACGTAAGCCAGTGCACTGGTCCCGTGGAAGCAGATCCCCAGTTTGGGTTTTGCAGTGCAGTGGCCGTCTTTTGAAGCCCTTCCCACAGGTTCTGGAGCACGGTGACCACAGCCCAATATACCACTCAGGACATGGGTCTCCACAAACCCTGGTGGCTGGGGGTCTTTGTGAAGAATTGCAGTCCAACCCTGGTTTCCCATCCGGTGTCAGACACTGCACCATCCTCCTTTGGATCCCGCTGCCACAGGTGACTGAGCACTTTCCCCAGACTGTGGATATCCATTTCCCCAGAGCAGGATCCTCCTTGCTGTAAGAGATCTTCAGGGTGTCTCCATCTTTGTCCTTGACGCTGTCCTCAGCCAGGACACTGTTGTGGGAATTTAAATGCCCCTCCTTCTTCTGAGTCTTACTCTCCTTGATCTGACGGGCAAGGTAGAAGGAATATCGGATTCGAGGGGGCGTCATCTTGCCTGCACACAGCACCTCCACAGTCAGGGCTTCTCCCAAGGGCTTCACAGCCTGCAGAGTCTCTGAGAGACCAGTTGTACCGCTATAGCGCAGCAGGCTGCCCTTTACGATGATGTCCCTCTCCCCAGCAGACACAATATAATTCCCGTTGAGCAGGTAATGGCCCTCGCTGTTCTTCACCACCAAATAGTTGTCATCACTTATCATTCCCTTGTAGCCTCGCTGACGGATGTCTATGTTGGCTGCACCCACTGGTAACGTGACCACAAAGTTGTAGCCGTGCCTGCATGGCAAAATATATTACAGTCAATGAGAATTTATAATAGTGAAACTGATCATGCCAATATATTGATGTAAAATGGAGAAAAGAGAAAAACCCTATCCTGTGAAGTTGTGCTTTTTACTCACACAGGCTTGGTGAAGAGTCCCGACACCTTCTTGCAGCCCTTGTTATCACCTCCGCAAATTCCACACTTATCAAATTTCTTGGTTGAGCCAATTTTTCCATCACATCCAGCCTTAATGCACTTTCCTTGTACACATACTCCTGTGGAGTCTGGGGAGCATGGAGTCCCATCCACAACCTGGAGCGTACAGAAATGTTTTAAGATTAGTTTTTCAAATGCAGCAAGAAAAGCAAAAATCTTAAGTCACATGAAGCAAACAACAGATCATCGAACACACACTGCAGTCCACATGTTTTAAAAAGCAAGTCCGTGCTCTCTAATGCACAGTCCCTGTGAGTTTACCTTTGCTTTATCCTTATTCCAAGTTGTTAAAATACTGTACATTAGGAATTCATTAGATTGCACATAAACATTAACTGCAGCCATTCCCCATTGTGTAGCTGTTTATATCTCATAATGTGCTCTTTGACAGTTTGGTCCTTGTAATTCTTTGTAGTTCTGACATACATTTTTTTTTCATCTTGAGATGCATCAGACATTAAAGCTGACACCAAATGAACCAACCTCCAGCTTGAGGTTTAAATTAAATTGTATACAAAGAGTGCTTACAGAGAAAATACTGTAAACAAATTTTTGGTTCCAAGTCACAGCTTTGTGGTTACAACATCCAGCTGCTCTGTGATTTGGAGCTACGTGTCCCCTGAGTGCTCTTATCTGCTCCTCCTTATGATAAAGTGAAGTGTGAATTCTGTCTCACTGCTACTAAAACTCACCCGACACCTCACAATCTGAAACACATAAACTGCCCACCTCCTCTCCTTCATTCTGTCCTCTACTCTCAGACTAAAGACACTTGGTTGACTTTTTTTACATGATCCCACATAAACTTACTGTTACTTGGCCTCACATCTCAAATTTACTGTAACCTAAGTTTATTCAGACTTTTCTTTATTGCCTAATCAAATAATCTTTGTATTTACAAATACACTTGAGGTGTAGATGTTCACCTTGGGTGCCAGCACATAGAAGTAACCTGTGCCATTAGCCCTGCAGATGAGTTTACACCTATCATCGGGAGACACTCCAGAGTATTTGGGGACCCACACCGCAGAGGGGTCGATACGGTTACTGTTGAAATTGCGGCCACTGGTCTCACACTGCTCTTCACGGTAAGTCCTACCTACACAGAGGGAGGGAGGGGGGTACAGAAGGTGAGAGGTGGAAATGCTCTATGGGGAAAAAGTGTTGTTGGACATATTTGTGTGTTTTGAACAGCTGGTACCTGTGTTAGGGCAGTGGTTCAAGTTGCAGGAGCGGTATTTGACTCGAACACCTTGGCAGTATTTACCCCCATGTGAGGGAACTGGGTTATTACACTCCCTTTTAGACAGTTGGACGCCACCTCCACAAGTACGTGAGCAGGAACCAAATGTGCTCCATTTACCCCAGCGGCCATCCACCTGGAAATACACCAATATAAGAACATAATAAAACAACACATGCCTTCCTTATCCTATTCCAGTTGAGGTATATGTTGATATCAAGAACGAGTCTGCATGTGAGTCTTACCTTCACATTTTGGATCTGTTTGTCAGAGCAGACACCTCGGTCACACACCCGTCCATTCCCACAGTGGGTGCCGTCTGCCCAAGGGAAGTGCCGAGTCATACAGACTGTATGGCCGTTGGACGTCCCTGTACACCACAGACGGCCACATGGTTGTTGCATAAAGAGACAGGGCTTGGAGCCTTCACCGAACGAAAGCTCACACTGACGGTCCAGGTTGTATGGAGCTCCCGGCAGCATATCAGGGAGGGCCAGCGGTCTTTGAGGCTGGTCAAGCAAGCAATCCCCTAGAAGAGGGAGTCTCGGTAAGTAACATGCTGAACTAATATTCCCTGTCATCTTCAGTTTTGTTGCTCTTTTTTTAGTAGCTGTGAGCACCTGCACCCATAAATTCCAACATTTCACCAAAATATTTTCACAAAATCATGAAAAACACAGCATTCTATACTTAGGCATTGATATTTCCAGTACTCTTTTCATTATATATGTGTGTGTATTGTGGCTGGGTGGGCTTGTGAATTGGGGACTGTAAGCAGCCATTGCCCCTGAGAGGTGCAGCCTGATGCAGTGTATGGTTACATACTACACACAGACACATACACACAAAAACAACCACCCCCACCCATTTCCCATCCTCAACCTCCCTCTGAAAACCCACAAGCTCATCCTTTCATGTTTGTTCCCACCCTTGTAGCATGACTGCAGTGATGAAGTTATACTGCAATACTCTTAAACTTTTATATTCCAGTTTGAAATCTTAGCTTAAAACTCTTAAATAAGAAGACATGTAGCCAGCTAGGAGTGCAAAGGCCAAAAGCATGGGCTTCATTTACAGTAAACAGCACATGGAAACCTTTCCAGGAACACGAGTTTGACAAGGAGTTGCTTGAAAACATGAAAGAAACTGACATCACTGGATAAGACGGTTTCCAGGAGGATTTTTTTTTTATCTATCTGAAACACAGCTTCTCACTCTTATGGGAAATTTACACAGAAAAAAGGAGTCATTTGCACTGGGAAAATAAACTTGGTTCGCTTATTTTGAGCTGCTTATTACGCCATTTGTGTGGCTGTGAATTCATAACAGACGATAAGTGAATGAGCTCTAATTGGTGGAAAATTTGTTTCCTCACATTTCGCCACAAATTCGACAGAAAAAAACACACTAATTAACAGCACTATATAAACAAGTCACTCCATATTGAAAGAGCTAAACCTCACCTCAGTTGTGGATGAATGAACGGGTTACAAATAATTCTGGGCACAGCACTGCATGAAAATGCCTCAGACATGTGGCAGCATGTGGTTTTTTTCTCTCTCCACTGCTCTTTGAAGTCTAGATTTATGACAGAGGAACCAAGTTACAACACCATGTGATAGAAATCACACCCTGTCAAGTCCAAAATGTTCTTCTGTATTGTGCATCGGACCAGTTTGTGTTCATTTGCTCTTAGACCATCTCTGAAATGAAATAGGAAAGAAGCAAGCTTTCCTATTTGGAGTACAACTGCATGGGAAACATTGGGCAGCTATAGCTCCCTGTCCAAACCAATGTGGTGACTCTCCCCAAAACAAGAACTCTAATTTTGGACAGATGTGGGGGCAGCTTTAAAATAAAAGTTTAGCACTGCTTCAAAGCCAAGTCCTGTGGTCTGGCTTGTTTGGCAAGCAAGCTTTTTGGCTTTTGCTAAGCTTTTCTATGAGCATGGTACCATAGAAAGTAAGGAAGATGTGACATTTGAAGTGTAGAGTGACGCTGACATTTAATCAAGCTCTCACTGGTCACATTGGAAATCAGGAAGGTGATAACCCAGAAATATGGGTTACCAGAAAATGTCAAAAGATGATCCTGCTTCTCTTTGGAAATAGGATGGAAGTCTTATGGTTGCTGACAAAACAAGCCACAGCCGTAATCACACAAGGATAATGTGAATAACACAATGAGGATGTGCTTTCCAAATATGATCAACACCTAGCTCCCTGCTTGTTAACCAGTAAGGCTCCAAGATCATTTAATAGTAGTCTAAACAGAGGTGTCAGGGGCTGTGGAAACTCACCATGGCCACTGTCCAGAAACTCAGTGATGATGGCAGCACTGCAGGGAGACCAGGGACTGGTGCGGTTGATCTGAATAAGCGTGGGGGACATCATGTGGTTGTCCTGCAGTTTCCCAAACACATCTTCACAGGCCTTCACGTTGTCGTGTGGCATGTTGAAGACGTGTCCTGCAGAGAGGGCCCAGATGTGTTTCATGAATAGCTGGGTACATTTATCTATGAGCATGCATTTACTGTCACACTATGGGAAACATTATAGTACTAATGTGCACTGAGCAACAGGTAGTATTGGGAGGGCTTACCCAGCTCATGAGCGGTAGTGAAGGCTGAGGGTAGGCCGTCGTCTTCAATCACAGAGCAGCTCCTTCTGGGATCACACATTGTGCCAACATCTGCCATGCCAAGAGTGTCACAGGTGGAGGCTCCACACAGGTCCTGAAATTTTACATTAGGTCATCTGAGCTGGTCAGAGCCAAAGATCTTTGAGGTGGTCAGACAAGAGATTTGTTGCTTTATTTAAACAAGTTCATTTGGAGTTTAAACTTAAGGTGACCACTCCAGAAAAGTTCATAATACTCCCTCACTGAACACGTTAACTGTGTGGACAACTACAGCAAGTACAATTGACACTTTGGGCAATCATTTCAAAACTGGAATTTGTTTTTTCTCCCAAAAACATTTGACTAACCTGGGATTTTGTTTGATAGCTGTCTTATGGTGTGACTGTTCCTGCTTCTCGAAGGTTACTTTTTAGTGATGTGACCTTGTTCCCAGACTTACTGTAAGTATTTAACTTGGTGTGTAAAATTTAATTAACAGAAATAAAAAATGGTGACCAATACTGCAAAGACATAAGGCCCAAGTTGTAATAAACTCATCATGCTTTATTGCTACTAAAGCATGGTTTCCAGTCTGAAGTATTTCTGCATAACCTTCATCATTCAGGACAAAAAAAATGCAAAAATCTGAGTTAAATTTCCTTTTTTTAAAATGTGTTTTAGCACTCAAAATCCATCTGCCTCATTGACATCGTGTGGATATGGTCTGATCAAATTTGATTAACAAATACATAGAAATCTCTAATGTGAACTAACCAAAACAGTTGTAACTGAGGCTGAAAGATGTGTGTTTGTGTAGGAGCCCATCACTAGCAGTAACTGAGAAAATACATTTGCAGTGCCTTTAAGTTGCCATTATAATAAAATTTGGTTTCTAGAGCTTGGGGAAAGAATTGATAGTGCTAAGCACAGCTTTCCACCACCTGGTTGTTTAAGCATTTTAGTGGGCAGCAGTGTTTAGAGCACACCTTCTTCTATGAGGTAACGTATGTCCCCAATCATAACATTTCCATGCCAGAGCAGAGTTTCCAGATGACCTATTTCTCCACCGCAGGTTTTTAAAACCCAGTCTCAGTGAGCATCCATTTGGAGCTGAACCTCGTAATCAAAGGACAACTGCGTCAGTAACTGCAAAAAGAACCACCCATCTGCTTTGTCCGTAAACAGCACTGTCTCTAAATAACCAAAAAAGCATAGAAAACCAGTGGCGGTTCGCTACTACAGATAAAGCAGAGTGTTTGTTTAATGTCACAGAGCCCCTGCAATCCTCTGCTGCAGTGAATGTGCACATAAAATACAGTGTCAGCTGAAGATCTCGAGTGCTATGACAGATCATTCCTAGAATAAACCACAACTGCTGGCCGGTGCAAATCTATTCCAGATGTGCTCACTTGTGCAGACAGCATCTGAACGTTTGGGACATTTATGAGAAGAAAAAAAGTCAAACGGAGGAGAAGAAATATCAGTGTCAATGAGTTTGCTCTTTTCTATGACCTACTTCCCACATCTGTCATCTATCTTTGCATAGTGTGTGTGTGTTTGCAATTTCAAAACTGTATACATGTTATTACAGCAAAAAACATTTTTCCATTTTTTGTGGACAGATTTCCATGCTCTTAACTACCATCTAGTCTATTACAGTTTGTGTTTTGGGTGCAACATTCAGAAGTGTCAGTTTCCATTAGTACTTTTTTTTACTAAAAACTACATAATGAGTGGAAAATAGGTCTGATACAGTAGTATCACAGACAGGGTTTATGACATCCAGATGTATTTGGCAATACTTTTTTTCTAAACCCATTATCTGTCATATAAGTAAGGCACTGGTGTGAGTTTAAGCACCACCACTCCAGTCTCCCAGGGAAATCTGTCATACTTACAATTAAATTCCATTTTCGGGAGGCTAGCTGATCATATTCATTCAGCTTGCTGTGTAATTTAATGAAGTAAGTAATGCAGCATTCTTTACACAACAATCATGCTGGCAGTAGACTTTAAAGACAACCGCAGTTGCCTTCGGACAACACCGAGTTGGTCTTAATAAGCCTTACAAATTACACTGGGGGCTGGGAAACAGCAGACAGCTGCCTTACATGCCTGCTGAAAGCTATGGTGGATGAAACATGCCACTTTCTTTGACCTTTGCTGATTTGCTTTATCAGTGAGTGTATACAGACACCTTGTTGAATATCGCAAGCAAAAATGCAAACTAATCGAGTACCTTGGTTGTGTAAGTACCTTGGGTCTGGGAGGGGAGGCATATGTCTGCATGCAAGGTGAAGGCCGGAATGGCAAAAAGTTTGTTCAAAGTATGTGTGAGTCACTTTTTATTAAACAAAGCTTGGCACTTTTACACATACTTTATACCGGAGCACCTTGTCCTTTGGATCCTGGATGCTTTGCACATGATGAGCTGAAGCTCTTATCTCATAAATTCAGTATTGTATTAATTCATAGATAAAGCTGAAATGTCATTACAGGCTATAGGTTCCTATTGTTGTACCAGAAGCTCGGTTTGATTGCTGGTGATAAACGAAGCACTACAAAACACTACTCAGATGTTAATATTTTTGTTTGTCGTACACACAAAATTGTGCTAAGTGCACGTACACCCATGTGTGACCATTCTGTTTTTCAGGCATATTTTATACAAAAATATTCCATCAACAGGAGTCTGTTTTTCCCATGTGTTTGGGTCACTGACAAGACATGTTCTTCATTTGCCCAGTAGCAAACGCAACTGCTTCTGAAATAGAGTATTTGTTGCAGTTTGTCAAACCTCTGTCAGTCTCATGTTAACTCAGTGTATTTTTGCTTTATATAGCAAAATACAGCATCATGACTCACTGTCTGTAGCCAGGTTCAGCACAGCTGAATGGGATCACCTAAAGAGGCCACAGAGTGTATAGAAGCTCTGCACATGTGGCCCATCTTGGAGGTGCCATGGCCTGAACAGGAAGAACACACTGTGCATATGGAGCCTTACAGCAAAAAAGAATGAATGAGAGAGGAAGTGCATGACAGCGTGAAGAAAGCGTTGTAAAGATACAACTGTGCAGGCTGACTTCAGCTGTGCAGCACTGCCCCTCTGGAACAGCTTGTTTCAGAGGTGGGATGTGCAGGTGGGGCATTAAACATGGTTTCCCCTCTTGGGCCTGTTTAATGAGGAGCAGACAAGGTGGTGGCTAGGGCTAGAAAACCTACAGCTGGAGGAAGAATGAAAATGGCTGAGAGAAACAAGACACTTCCGACTAGTGAATCCCTGCAGACACTGTAAAATTATAGGTAAGGTTACAAGTGTTTGTGTGAGGTCATAGTCATGTGAGGTGTAATGTTAGTGGCATTGACCAAAGGTAATTCGCTGTTTGTTTAATTCCTCTGAGGAACATTTTGAGAGTGTACCTGCATCTGCATCTTTTGACTGTAGAATAAACAATATCTGAACATTCTTTTTTTTTTTACTATTAAATACTATCTGTATCTGCTTAATTTGCCGACTTTATACCAAGACGTCATTGTCAAAACTGACCTGATTCCACAAGGCAGACAATTCATCATAGAGTAATGAATTACACAGGGCCAATGGATGTGAGAGATGAATTCATCTCTGACCACGTGTCATTTGCCAAACATCTGGGAGTGCAGAGAGAACACTGAGGTGGATGCCAAGTCCATAAAACGACCCTCTCTGGAGCCATGAAAAGCAATCAAGGCCGTTGCTCTGTTCAGCTCAAATAATTTCTTACAGTCTCTGATGCTATTGGTGGGCTGGATATTCGCTGCCTGCCTGCTCCCTGAGTTCACCAGAGGTGGAGACTGTGTTTTGAGAGCAAACCAATTAAGTGTTACACCAGGGGTGGGGAGGGGATGTCTGTCGTGTAAACTCATTAACCAGTTCCTGTGTTATCAAATATTTAAATATGCCTTACAGACAAAGCATGTTATGAAGATTTGATCATAACCATCACCATAGTCCCATTGTTTGTTTGTTTGTTTGTTTGTAACATAGTAAAATCAATATAGGTTATGCAGAAAAGGTTGCCATTTCTATGTGTAATTGTGCATACTAAAACAGCACCTGCTGTCACCTCACACCCTGTAATGTCAATTTAAATAAAGCATTTTACCTGTCTAGTGAAAAGGATCGCAGTGTCCCAGTAATCTGAATGCTTATCGCTGTTTTTGTTCATCTTTTTTTGCCATGTGCAAAAGTTCCGCAGAGTCATGGCTGCGTTGCTGGACACCTTGAGTCCTAAGTCCTCCTCGGATATAATCATGATCTTCACAACTACGATGCTGATGGCGTTAAGAATGCTGGGGTGTTTGTAGAGCCGCGCTGCCACTGACATCAATGTCAAGAGGTAGTGTTTTAGGTCATCTCCATGGAACTGCGCCATGGACACGTCCGCCACTAAGAGCGTCTCCACGTACCTGGGAACTGATGCGAACCTTTTGCTTCTCCCCATCCTCTTCAGCATCGTTTCGGTAACATTGCTGTAATCTTTTAGCGGCTTGTATTTCTCCAGCGATTGCGCAACACGGAGACTTACATCGCTGTCCACTGCACACCTAGAGGTTGTATTGGACCTCAGGTTTTTGCTGGTTCTGCGCTGTATGATGTGCGCACTTTCTGTGCTTTTAGTGTCATTCTGCACCGGGCTGATAAAATATTCCCATTCTCTGAAGCCAAATGCACCTCGCAAACCCTTACAAAGGCTTAAAGCAGCATAAGAATAGCGGTCCCCATTCACGTATCCGGAGTAAAAACACCGGCTCAGGTCAGTGGTGTCACCGGTGTTGGAGAGCCAGAACGCGTCTTGGTTGGAAATGGAATGAGCAATGAAGTTAGAGTCTAGGAGACATTTTCCATTAAGGTTATCCACGTCGGTGCCAAAATCCCTCCTGTCATGTTTGTGGTTATCCAATCTAACTGGAAAACAGATTTCACTCTCCATGCAACGAACAGGTTTTGAGAGTGAGATCACAAAATAGATGAGAAAAGTTGTTTTGATAATCATGACGATGTTTGCATTCAGTAAAGAATGCAGTGACCAACAGAGGAAACAAAACGATAATGAATGTGCAAGCTCAGTGGAAGCGGTGACACCCACAGATCAGGATGAAGAGCATAATCCAGCCCTAAGGTTTCTAAAACAATGCAGACCAAGCTCCTCCTGGTCATCACCCATTCCCATCCTCCACCTGTGTGTGCTGAGTCGACTGCTTTTTCTGTGGACTTTATGCATTTTCGTCATGTGTACAAATATGGAAACTCAATCTCTCCTGTGGAGGGGCAGTCTTTGAAGGCGCAGCAGACGCTCATTGGATGCACGTCTCAACTGAAGACTTTTCTGCGGCCACTTGAATCTTAGCAAACAGCAGGTCTATCATCACACTGATGAATCAGTAAATCTCTCATTTACAGAGCTTTGTGCGCTGAGACTCTGCGAGGCCAATCGCATCTGCCCTACATAAAGTCATTACGAAGTTTTGGCCACGTTGGGAGGATAAAACTAATAAAAGTTTATTTTAATCTCTAATCAGAACTGCAGAAAAAGCCCTCCATCCTCAGTTTTAAAATATAACTGTCTTAATAACAAAACTGCATTGGATCTAGTAGGGTAAACATGACAAAAGTCACTATGATATAGCAGCTGGAGTCGCTAAGGCTGCTCTGACTCAGTTCTCTTGTCCTGGTCAGATGTTTCTCTGTGTATATTGAGTGCGACATCTAGTGGACAACAAAGGAACTATGGTTTTAAAGGATGTAGGTTATACTACCATGGTATATGGGCCACTATCAATACATCTATCTATCTATCTATCTATCTATCTATCTATCTATCTATGTCTGGCCTGAAATTTAAACAAACGTTTATACGTTCTGTGATTACTTTTAATTGGTATGTTAAAATCTATATGTTTAAATCATCAAATAAATGTATGAATGAATTCACTTCACTTCTGGATGTTTGACCTTCACCATCCAGTGTTAAGGCAGTTTATAAATTATGTAGAATGGGGAAATTTCTCTTTGCTCAGCGCTCACTTGAAATTTTAAGGTGTGTACCTGTCAGCATGTACACAACCAGTTTAGAAGCCAGTCCAATCCAACAGGCCAATTAAACATGTGTGAAACTTGAAGTATGTATTGCACATACACGGAGAATGGTCTTTCAGTAATGTAGAAAGCATCTTGTATACAGTAGCTAAACTTGTGAAATTATTATTATTAAAATCAAAGTATTTTTGTATATTTCCAAACGTATAATTTTACTGATGACACGTTTGTACTGTCACTTAAGTTTGATTGCAGGACAGAGTAAATTTACACTTACTGACGCTTTTACTTAAGGGTCTGAATAATATTTCCTCCACCACTGGAGCAGAGACAAATGGCCAGGCTACCTATGTGGGGTGTGTAAGCAAAATAAAATAAAAAGAGGGTTTGGAGAACTAAAATTAAAGTGAGGATGCTTTCAAAAATAATGTCATAAATAATAATAATAAATAAATATTAATGTTAATTAAATAACTTCTTTCAAAGTGGAATAAACGGAAAATAGCAAGAAATCAGATTTGGTTTAACCACCTTTTGGCTTTAATACACAAAGTCGTGCATGCAATTTTTCAAAGCCATCACAGTGTTTTCTGTCTCTCAGTCCCAGACCGAGTGCCTGACTAGTTGCAGGACTGTTGTAGCTAAATACTTTATGACTCTGCCCTATGTTTGTGCTCGCTGTCGTGAAACAGAGGCAGTTTGTTGTTTTATTTTATTTATGTACTTATCATTAGTAAATCATCCAGGGTGTGGCGCTTACGACCCTTCCTCCAGCTAGCCGCCCACTTTGTTTTCTGTTCTCAACCTGTTGCCAGGAACGCCACAGTGGTTGCTAGGTTAAGGACCCCTGCTTACGGGCTGTCCGCGGAAAAGCCAGATGTTTCTTTAGCATCACAATTATAAAAATTATTGAAATAACCGTTAGTTATTAAAATTTGTCACTAAACAAATACACATTTAAATACTGATTATTTCTATCTGGCAAGTGATACTTTACTTCGTCTTTTGCTACTTTTGTCAAACGGCAGTTGACTTGCTGTCTAGTGGTTAACACAAGTTATTTATTGTTACTTAAGAAGTGTGACAATAAACTGTGCCGCGCTAGGTTGACGTTAGCATAGACATTAACCATAATTTGCGAATTATAAAGGAAAAGGTTTTGAGTGCAGTTATACGCGTATTCTATTTATGCACTTGAGGAACAAAGCAACCGCTAGTCCACTGTCATAGCAAATAACTTACCGATGAAGTTCAGTCCAGTCTTTGTCAGCTGTCAAGTTAACCTCCTGCCGTAGACATGAATGCATATCACGTTTTGGATCTGGTGGGAGAGGGCTCGTTTGGTCGCGTTTATAAGGGTAGGAAAAGATTTACTGGTCAGGTAAGTAGCTTTTGTAATAGTTTGATAGCTGTTTTGTTTAGTCACACCGTTCGACCGCCTGTCCGTCTGTATTCATTAACGTTAGGTGGTGGCTCTGAAGTTCATGCCAAAGGTGGGTCGCTCTGAAAAGGAGCTACGAAGTCTCAAAAGAGAGATTGACATCATGAGGGGTCTTCAACACCCAAACATTGTCCAACTGTTTGACAGCTTTGAGACTGAAACTGAGGTATGTTTATGATAATCTGATAGTCTGTGCATGTTTGTGATATTAAATTCTATTGCCTCCCACATCTATCTTTACATATTAGTATAAAATGACATGACCAAAATATGCTTGTAATAGGTTGTGGTTGTAACTGAGTATGCAGAGGGTCAGTTGTTCCAGATTCTTGAGGATGATGGAAAGTTACCTGAAAACCAGGTATTTAACTTACTGTCAGTATACAGCTAGCTGAACATTAGACTGCGTTTTCACTTGGCCAACTTTTGCTCATTCTTCTTTTCCAAGGTCCGTGAGATTGCCTGTCAGCTCGTCTCAGCGCTGTATTATTTACACTCCCATCGCATTCTTCATCGTGACATGAAACCACAAAATATACTGTTGGGAAAAAGTGGGATGGTAAAGCTGTGTGACTTTGGGTGCGTGATATTTTTAGAAGACAAAATAGCTACAATAGTCATTTCCACAAAAAGGAATATTAACGTATGTAATCTCACTGTAGGTTTGCCAGGGCCATGAGCGTCTCCACACTGGTGCTGACTTCTATCAAGGGAACACCACTGTACATGTCTCCTGAGCTGGTGGAGGAGAAGCCCTACGACCACACGGCTGATCTGTGGTCTTTAGGCTGCATTCTCTATGAGCTGCACACGGGGGCGCCTCCGTTCTACACTAACTCTATCTTCCACCTGGTGCAACTCATTGTGAGAGACCAAGTAAAATGGCCAGACACAATGAGCAACACCTGCATGGTACAGTACAGCCAGCCAGCCATTGTCTACTCATGCTGTATCATTTTTGGATCAAAATCAACACCTACACTGTATGCTTCCATTCAGACGCAGGTGGCCCAGTGCTGTGCATTAGTGCAGGACCATAGGAAGCATTTTTAGTTCTTATCTAATGTTTCCCTTACAGAGTTTCCTGAAAGGGTTGTTGACCAAAGACCCACAAAAGCGGTTGTCATGGCCAGACCTCCTGCACCATCCCTTTGTTGCTGATGGTGTTCTAGGTGATGCTTAAAACTCAAGTTAACACAATGTTCACAACACTGGTTTGTTTTTTAGATTATCCTGATGTCTAAATAAAACAATTAAAATTTAATATGTATGTGTTGGCACAGTGCTGTCAGACGCGAGTGTTTTCAGCCCTCTGACGGAGACACCCAGCCCAGACATGCTGGCGCTAAAGCTTCAGCAAGTGGCAGCGAAAACAGTACCAACGTCTGGAGAGAGCAGGATACTGCGAAAAGCCAGGGAACAGAGGGACAACTGTAGCAGAGGGAAACCGGTAAGGAGTGACAGTGGAAAAAGCGGGTCACCATCAGGTTTTTGTTTCTTCAGTTAGTCCCAAGCAAATTTAGGGAGGAGCTTTAAGCTGTTCTGTGTACACTGACAGAAAAAGAACAACGGAGTGGGAACTGAAGAGGCCAACTCTGCGATTGTAGCAGCATCTCCTAGAGCCACGCCACCCTCCAGTGATGTCTCTGTTACTTCAGGTCACTCAATCATGGCAGTCAACCCAAAACATCAAATCTACGTGACATCAAAACACAGGTGTTTATGGAAATTCAGAAAAATGCTCTTTCAGTGTTCTACTAAAACAGACTGAGGCCTGTATTCATGAATATTTTCTCTGCAGGGGTCAGATCAGCAGAGACTATGAAAAGGAATTCCCTTCTGTAGAAGTCGGGCCACGGCTAGTGTGGCGGTGCAGTGAGGACAGTCCAACTACACCGCACATGCAGGTCAGTGTCAGCTGCTTTGTCAAGTACATTACACTGTCCATTTAGAAAATGTATTGTTCCATAATATGGAGTATACTCTATCTTATCTTCCTGTAGCAAATCTGCCATTTTGATAAAGAAAGTAGTTGATGTCCTATAGTAGTAATCATTTGTTTCAGGATGCTGACAGTGAGGAGTACTGGGAGAAACTGGCCCAAGACTCAGATCCAAGCAAGCAGCAGACAGAACTATTAAACTACAGTGTCATTATACCTCAACTTAAATCCAAAATGCTGGCTTTTAAAGCTCAGGTAATTAGGTATACATTTCAACTGTACAAGAATTTATTGTAATTCAAACTAACTTTGCATTTAGTTTCATGTTTTGTTTGGACAGCTAACAGGTAGCGTTGTCATAGAGGCGTGGCAGATTCAGCAGCCTCTGAAGATCTTAACCAACCTGATTCTGACCTCGGACCTTCAGAAGTCTTATTATATTGGCTGTGAGCTTGGACTTCCCCATATTCTTTTTGACCTGGTCCACGATATTATAGAAAACTCAACTTTCATCAAGGTGATTGATGAGGAATGAAACCATACTGAACACTGTGTTATTTTATCAACAACATTTGTGATCTTTTTGTGCTTTTTTTCTCTGCTCAGCTACCCTGGAGTGTGCCATCCCTTGGAAACATTGTTGCGGTGCTTCTGATCTATTGGAAGAAGCACTGTGACTGGGTGGAAGAAGAACATAGGTTTCTGTTATTTCTGTTTTATGTCACTGATGCTGATTTTATTCATTAGTGGACTATTGTGTATATACAGTTGACTGACCATCATGAATCACAGTCATTCAGATAAATACAGCCCATCGCCTGTTCTCTTACTGTAGACTGGAAGAGTTTGTCTGGCCCTTCAGCGTAATTCTCAGTCGACCAGATCTCGTTCCTTTAGCAGTAAGTACCCACTGAAATTAGTTAATAGTAACTGCAGGCTGTTGACCGTGTTCACTGTGCTCCACATGTCAAGCATTTTGTTACTCTGGAAGAGTTTGGTTATACAGTGTGTTGAATTTGTTGTCTTCTTTAGCCTTTTGCTGCGTCTGTCCTGTCTCTCTTCACACAACATGATGTTGATGTTGAACTTGATGTGGACAATCTAACCTCCTTGCTGAAAAGCCTACTCTCGGACTCCTATGAGGTCCAGAATCAGCGAGTAAGTAACTTGTATAATCTGCACTAATTTGACACTTCTTTCTGCAAGTTTAGGCTAATCTTGTCTGATGTGTTACCCTCTCTTCTGCCTTATAAGTCCCATCTTTCCCTTCCTTCTGGCTGGGGACACTGTGATGGCATCCTGTCTTTACTCCTACACACACTGTCTGAGGTGAGGCAGTGCCTGCAATGTGAAACAAATTGACTGAATGGATACCAAAGCAAACCTTCCTGTGCTTTTGCTGTTTTATTTTTTATTTTTTATTTTTATTTTTTAAACAGCAGGAAAATAGTCCTGGATTTTCATGTTTAGATCCAGTTCTGTTTCTGGATCTGTGGAAGAAAATTGGTGCATCACTGGCAAATGCAATGACAGACACACATTTCTGTTCAGCAAATGGTAAATGTATATGCATCTTATGAAAGCCACCATATTTAAAATCACTTTAATATGTTGAAACTTTACATATGTTTTATTTTCTTTTTATACCAGGGCTGTATTCCTTTCTGTCTATTGCACTGCTTGCCTTCACCAAGGATCCATATTCATGTGTTCCTCTCTTTTCTGAGAGTGAATCAAAATGTGTATACACTCTTGGCCAGCTGCTGGGCTCTGACTGGTTGGTATACAGATGTGTTAATTAACTTACTTTTTCATTTGTACCATGAATTGTAGAGCAGCACAGCAGCTACTCCTGAAGCTAACAATAACCCCTTTGTATACCTTGCAGTCTTCATTTGTTTGCTGAAGGCAGTCCTGGGAGACTTGAGGTGGATCTGAGTCATGACAGCCTGTCCGTGTTGAGCTGCCACTTGCTGTGCTTTCCATTTGCCCTGGATCTGCCTTCACACACCATGTCCTCAATTCTCCAGCTATATGACAGCTGTGGTATTGTCGCAAGCCTCATGCAGGTTAGGGCCTTGCCATGCTGCAGTAAAGACCTCGCTGTCAAACATAATTCTCTGATGCAACACAGGATAACTCTTGCAGTAGACTCACATCAAGCACATGCTACTGTACATCCTAATGTCTCTGTACTTTTGTGAAAGCATCATGTTGTTTGTTGTCAGCTGTTTGATCTGTGACAGGCTGTCTGGATGGTTTTCTTTTTCATGCTTTGGCAGGTAATTCAAGCTCTTCCTCCTCCGCTCCTAGAGCTGCCTCTCTCCCTACTGAACCGTTTGCTCCTGTGTGACCCCAAGCACTCTGTTTCCCACCTCAGAAAACATTCCTGTGTTTTTTTCATGCCACCCAGCGACAGCCAGCTCACAGCCTCCAAACACCAGGCTCTGCTAAGCAGAACTGCTAGCTCTCTGCTCTTTGACTTGCTGCAACTGGATGTACTGTGGGACTCTGCAGTGGAGCTTCTAACTCTGTTGTCCCAAGTAGCCCGTTGTTCCACTAGGCCTGCCTGCCTTCAGCTTCACCTGGAAGCCTCAGTACTGCACCAGACGCTGTCTCACCCTCATGACCAGATAAGGGCTGCCACATGCCGGCTTTTGGGAAATTTGGATCCATTCAAACCTCCAGCACTACAACCTGACATTTTCAAAAGCATGAAAGGCTGTCTTCATGATTCCTGCCTTCCTGTCCGGCGAGTAGCTTGCAGGGCAGTTGGGAACTGGTTGGGGTATATTGCAGCAGGAGCAGGGTTTAAGATGGGTAGGTCCAGTGGAAAGGGCAGTGACACAACTGGGTGGGCCAAAGTGAAGCAAGAAAATAAACACAAGTGGTCACACAGTGAGGCATCAGGAACTGTGACTACTGTAGTAGAACAGGGAGTGGACGATAAAGAGGGACACCAGTGGATAGAGGAAGCCAGAAGCACGGCGGCCATGCTGGGGCCTCTAATCACCGACCCTGATGCCCACACACGTCGTCACTGTTGTGCAGCCTTGGGAAACCTGGTAAATGTTGATGGTGCTGTATCTTTGTTGTTGGAGGAGGGTGTGTCCAGCTTACTTCTGAGAGCTGCTTGCACGGATTCCCATAATGCAGTGAGACAAGCTGCCATAGCAACCCTGAGCCTGTTCAGCCAGCAGGACACAATACGTCAGGTAAGGAAATGACAAGTTACCAGAGCGGAGATAGTGACGTCACAGTGAGGTGGTTTCTCTTCTCAGAATTTGGTTAGAGGCACCTTTTCAAATTTTTTAACTTAAAAAAGTACAAAGAATTAGCTACAAGAGTGTATTTAGTTTTTTTCCATGAAGAAAACAGTCCACACCATTTCTTTGTAGTACCTTCAAAGCTTACCTTGTAGTTCTCAGTAATATTGCCTTCATTCCTTCTTTCGCAAAATGTTTTGCTGGTTATAGATCCTGATATATTCTCCCATGGATTAGTCAAATATTTAACATAGTTCTGTACTTAAGATATTGTACATTGGCATTTTAAACACATACTGTACATATAGTTTTTCACGATACTTACTTTCTTTTTGTATTTATGTAAAGGTCCTGATATCCCTCCACGCCAGAAAGAAACTCCTTCAGGCTTCTCAAAATGCACCTCCACAGTGCGACTATGGTCGGCTCATTGGACAGCTGTGAGTGAGTTTAAAGGGAATGGCAGCACATTATAAAACCATGCCTATGTTAAATAATTATAGTTTCTTACTTTACTACTTTCTCCTGTCTTAAGTGGTGTGGTATTCATTCTCTGTTTACTATGGCTTCATTAACTCACCCACTATGTTTATGTAGAATCCAAGTGGTGCAAATAAAAACACTGCTGAGATTGTGGCTGTGCAATCTGAAATAAAACTGTTTCCTTTTATTGTAAAGTTTCATTTCATGACACCAGTTCCAATTTCAGTGGAGAAAAAAAATCAATATAACAGAAATAAAAACCAAAGAGAAACGCTGGTCATTTTATTTTATAAAACAATTTCTTTGTTTCACTTATTTAGCTTACCTGACTGAATAGTAGCAACAGATAGAGGTCGGTTAATTCTTCTGCAGTAATAAAGTTTTGTTTTGTTTTGTTTTTTTTTAACCAAATTTCAGGGCAGTGAAGGTTTTCCGATTTTAACTTTTGTAAAAATTTGATTGGAACATTTCACCCTTATCGGAGTCGAGGGTGTAAGGACAGAGGTTGACAATTTAAAGACACGTTTGTGATTTGGGGCTGAAGAGATGGACAAAAATTACTTGAACTGCTCTTAAAAAAGAGCCTATGTTTTAAGTATTGAATTAAAGTCTATTCGAAATGATTCATTTCCCAACATGGCATCGATTAAATAAGAATATCGTAATAGTAACATTCCTCTCGGTAAGTGTGTGATGAGCGTCCAGGGCCGCCGGCTCGGACGACGGAGGCGCATTGTGTCGGGGTCCGTCAGGCCCTGGACAACTGAACTTGTGCCAAAAGAGACAAAAAAACATTTATGACATCGAAGAGGTAAGACGATTGTAACTGACCGGCGCCGACACAAAAACTCTGACAACACTTCTGTGATGAGACACTTTATTTTTAAAGGAGAAAGGCTGACGACACAAAAAATATGTTGATGTGATTAAATTAATCTGACATTACAAAGCAATATAACGTACTTTGAAATTATACCTTCATACGTATTTTTGGTTTTAATAATCGGAGGTGATTGTACATCATCAAAGATGAACTTCTAGCCAAAATGCTGAACCAACAATTTGTCTTTTGTCAGCGTTTATACTCAAGATTGTCTTAAAATAAATAGCCTATGCATAGAAAAAAGCCATCTTCAGTAGGCATGTTAAACAGTAGCCTGACATTAGTGGTTATTTGCTTGGAATAGCGACAAATGAACAGACAATTCAGACAGTATCCTCTTACACCAACGCTAACACTGCAAAAGCCCTGACAAATAATCTAATGAGATTTTTCTTTTTTTTTATTTTCTACAAACAAAAGGCTAACACACTCCACTCCCTGAATATACAAAAGTTGTTACAAATTAGTGCAGATCAGCCAGAGGCCTATAAAACTTATTGCCTTAACAAGCAGTTTGGAAAAAGATCCCGGATTTATTTCTGAAATCCTATTCTAGAGAGAGAGAAAGAGCACATTTTATGGAAAAACATGCAGAGGAAAGCTACTAAAACTTCACTAGTTACAGAATTTATACATAAGGAAAACCTTTTTTACATTAGGAAAATTTGAATGTCAGTGAATTTTTAGCAGGTAAAATGAAAGATATCTGCCATGACATTTGTAGGACTAGGATAAATTGCATATCCTGAGCTGCAAAACAGATTGTATTATTTGCAATATGCAAGAGAAGCAATTTTGCAAACTGCCACAAATACAATAACCAAACAGTTTCCACCTTCAAAACAGTATAAATATGAAATGAACTCTCTCTTGGTCACTGAATCTATCAGTTGTAAAATATTTGCACTCACTTCTAAACAAAAGTACGTGTTTGTCACATTAAAGTGATGAAAATAAAACATGTAAACAGACAAAGATGCTTGACTGCAAGCAAAAAAAAAAAAAAAAAAAAGAAAAACCAACCAACTTGCTCAAAACATACAAGTCCCATTAACTTATCAATATTTGGGCCTGCACAAAAAAGGCAACAATATTAAATTATATTATTGCTAAGGTTCCTCTTCTTAATGTCAGCCGTTCTTTTCGCAGTTGTAAAAATCAATACACAATTCTAATATTTTAAACATAAAAATCAAAATATCATTTGCTGTTCAAGGATGGCTAGAAATTATTCTAGAAAAGTATTTGCTTTGCAAGATGGGTTTAAAATGAAATGATGAGACATATTTCACTATCTGTTGTTGAAAAGGTGATACAGTAACTGCAAATAAAAACAAAGCAAAACATTAAGTTCTATTGCTGACATCAATTCCAATGTAAGGCTATTAAAAATATTAAACCTGCATAATGAATAACATTACTTCTTCAGATATAACCTTATTTCAATTAGATTCTTGCAGTGCGAGATCTATTAGAAATGATTGTCGTGTTAAGCATTGCAATGCCACAGTGCAGGTTCAGTCGATTAGAGTGCGAAAGCAACGGAAGCATTGGATAGAGTGTTGATTTAATATGTATAAAATAATTCACATTAGCAAAGCATGCATTTATCCCACCCACTGTAAAAGAAACAACATTCAATTCTGGACAATCTTAAAGACACAAGAAACTCCACACATTTTCCCTGTTACACCCTCTTTACATGTACTTGCAGGAGCTTGGTGTTACGCTGTCGTGTCCTGCTTGAGCCTTTGGCTACGGGCCTTGTAAACTTCAATCAGCAGATCTTTGACATACTGGATTTCACGTTCTACAGACTCTGCCTTGTCCCGGAGCTCCCGGTTCCTCCCTTCAAGGCGATGCAGCTGTTCCTCCAAAGAATCTAGCTCTGCCCTTTTTCGCTGGCGATACCTGCATTAAACAAAAGAAAGACTCAGAGAATATTTTCACTTGCGAAATTTGACATTTTATGAAGCAGAAACTAAAACCTACCTGTGAGCGGCAGTTTTATTCTGATCTCTCTTTTTCTGTTTGCGCTCCCCGCCTTCAACTGGAATGATGTCCACTTCGTATTTCAGAGCACAGTGGTCGTCCTTCAGCCTGCATGCTTGTCTTTGCCCTGATGACTCCAAGTTCAGACTCTCCCTAGCCACTAAAAGACACTCTGGGCCCTGATCCTCAAGGAAATTACAGTGTAAATCATGTTGCCCTATCTGCAGACTCTCTGCTTTGACCTGTTCATTGATGTTGCCTAAGAAACTATGATAGGCCTCAGACTGTGGTGTAGCTGGAAGATAACCTTCACTGCTCTCGGTTTTCCAAGAAACTGTGGCTTTTGTCACCTCCACACTTTTGATGCTGTTCAGCACCTCGTTGTTACCAGTGCCTCCGCTGACCTCCCTCATGCTGTACATCAACAAATCCTCTTTTTTATGTGGAACATCAAGTGATCCACCAAAGCCAAATCCTCCGCCAACAACCTTCACACCACCTATCACATCTTGAGTGAAACAGCAATTTTTCTCTTCTTTGGGCAGAACGGCACATCTTCTGACCTCCACTGCACTACCCAGACAGTAGCTTTTACCTACCAGCTGCTCGTCCTCTACACAGCCATAATTACCAGTAAGGGTCACTGCTGAGTTACCTGAGTTGCTTGCTTTGGAAGTCAACAAACTGTTATCATAGCCTTCACTGAACCTCACACCATCAGGAACTCTTTTCCTACCACACCCACTGGGGCGACTGCAGCTGTACGGGGTGTGTCTTGGAATTTTGGATCGCCCAAGGGGCCCACCACAGATACTTAGCAGGTCCAGTTCACTGGTTGCCAGGGTAACAAGAAATGGGTTGGATTCTGATTGGTTGGATGTAGAGTATGATGCATAAGGCAGCTGACTGTACGGCTGCGGACCCACTGGCAGTGGACCCCTGTCACATCTTCCCAGCCTCGGCCCTTTCTCTGGCAGTGGTTCAGACAGGAAGTAGTCCTCTAGTTGGGCAAGTTCCTCTTGCAGCAGAGAGGTCATGACCTCCAAGTCAGAGGGCACCTGGATATCATTCTGAAGGGGTGAAGGGGGAAGGGAGGCATTGGTGGAGGAGGGAGGGGAAGGAGGGTTTGGGAGGTACGAGGAGAAATCCACTTCTTCCGTCATCCAGTCAGTGAGACCATCACCTATTGTGAAGGGTAAAAAAACAATTGCGATTATTCCAAGATGTCTGATGGAGGAAAATATTAAAGCTAAAAAATAGTGTTCATGCAAATTCCAAAATATTAGTCACGTAACTGCAGCATAATCTAATCGACAATAGTAAACATAAGGCAAAAAAAAAGTTGCAGCTTATCAATATATATTAGACGTAGCTAGTTTATCACTTACTGTTCAAGAAGGACGAATGTGCTGCAGTGCTGAACCCACCTGAAATGGGGAAAACTATAAAAAAGCGTACTCACGGCAACTCACCAATTAAGTGCTGACTCTCCTCTGACACCTCCCCCCTGCACCCCTGTGATTGGCTGTGGTTAGCCTGTGGGTGAGAGAGAGCGAGGAGGTCTGCTGGGCAGACATGAAGAGTCTTCCAAACAGGAGCTGATGTTGCCATCATTTTGTCTGCTGGTGCTTTGATTCAGTTCAAGTCCAAGCATATGGTGAGAGCAAGCAGGGTCTGACAGATGGGCCACAGAGAGCAGGGCTGGGTGAGCATAATGAAACCTAGAGGGGTAAACAGAAACGGGGATCAGAAATGTGTGTAACTTAAGTCAGTGGATGGAATCAGGAATATCACTCTCACCACCCTCAGCAAGTTTCCCAGTATGACTGTTCTGATGGCCAGGCTACAATGAAGAAATCACCTGCAAGTCCTCATACAATGATAACGGGCATTTAAGCAATGTGCCTTTATAGCAAGTATCAGTAATTTAAAAAAAACTGCAAAGAAGATACAACTCAGTCAGAACTGGCTATCAGTGATCCAGAAGTGAGAGCTATGTCCTATGGGGTTAGAACTGCTCCAAAGTAAAATGCACTTTATGTCCTCAAAACACGTGGGACCTGACGCTGTCAGGGGCCCAACTGTCTGACAGGAGGCACTAGATTAACTCTCTCTAAGGGAGATCATTAAATTGTATTAATGCAGATCAGCTGCTTTCAGTTGCATGCTCCTTTTAGATTGATCACTTAATCTGTTTAGGTGAATAGGCTAATTATAGAAATGAAAATCTGGCAAGACAAAAGACTTAAAGTGACCTAAAGGTCATAGCCTATATTCAGATAACAGGACATAGTAGGCTGGAAGCTAGAGCTACATTTATTATTATTATTATTGCATTAAATATAAGTTAACATGATACCATAATAACACAGCTATCAGATATTAACCCTGACACGCACTGTTATCAAAGCAACCAAGGACTAAACCCTGGAAAGGACGTCAATAAACGTGCATTAGTTAAACAGTCTATTTGCTGAAATTAGAATATGCCTATATGAACCAGTATAAAGAGGAGAAACAGCCAACCACCGCACACCCGGAATTCACTTATGATATTCAAGCAGATACAACAAAGCAACACAATAACAGTAACAGACTTGACACAGCTGCATGGATAGCGAGAGAGTTTAACTTACTCCATTCTTGCAGAAAAATGTGTAGAGCACTTGGGGGTGCGTTGCTAATGCAAAGCACGGCTTCTTTTCAGGTTCAACAACTTCACAAATTTAAAGAGCCATATTTTAGCTCGGAATATCCGGAACAGCGCAAAAAGATGAGTTGCTGCTTTGCTTGTGGTCGACCTGTAAACTGAGGAGGAGTGTAATTGCGAGAAAGCATCAGTCCATTCACACCTAGCAACCAACTGCGTCACCGGGACAAACCGTGCCGCTCAGTGTAGATCCTTCCGCCCCACCCTCCGCGTCTCACCGACGGACGTCCCACAAATTAAAGTAGTGAGATAGCCTGGTTGTTATGTCAAGTAAAACTAACGCGTAAGGCTAATTGCTTATTTTTTACACTACACAAAGTGGTGATTTCTTTCATATTCAGAAATGTTGCTAGTGTAAGTAAAAAAGAAACATAAAAAGAAAGATGAAAAATGTAAAGTTCTTTGGCTATGAAAAGAAACTACAAATGCGTAAAGTTACAGTAACTTTCCGCGGAAGGGGATAACAGCTTTTTAAACGTCCTGTCCTGGTTTTTCTTATTGCCCCTTGTTGCCATACAGATGGGGCAGTGCTTTTAGTTTCAGAGCTCGCTGTTTAATATGAACGTCCATAACCTGCTGGCAGGCTTAATTTACTACATGAACACGCCACTCAAACGCACGCTACTTCAGTTCAGAGACTGTACGACACCATGAGGCAGGCTATTGTTTGGGAGGGAACTATTTGATTCACAACGCACTTTGTTGTTCACTTAGGGGTCTGTTGCATCTCTGTTGCATCAGTGGTCCACGCTCAGAGCGATTGGCTGCGCGTGCTCAATTTGTCCGTCTGTCATTGGTTGGAAACGGCTACATGTGAAATTTGATTGGTCGAGGGTAGGCAAGGCAAAGCATCCCTGTGTGGTTATCTGTTTTTTCTGCAGTGCAGCATGTGCACATGTTTCAGGTAAACAAACCGGGTGTGGAGACCAGCTCCGTTGTTTTTAAAGCTGAGAGTAGCTCTTATATTTTTAGTTACAGTTTTGCCAAGTTCATATAGTTCATATATCAATTCTTATATTGTCAAAAGAGAATAGCCAATGGTTTCTCTCAAAGTTTTTTGGGAGAAAGTCTTACTGACTATAGGCTATACGTTATTTAGTCTATTACTAGAGTTAAAAGATAATCTATAATGGGAATGCATGTTGTCATCATAGGCATACAAACTCTAAGTGTTAATATCCTATTTATATTGTTTATGTCATGTTTGGCAAACCATTTCTTTTTTTTTTATCAGTAGCTGTCAGCTCATATGGGTATCAACTTTAGCATGGCATTGTTTGATGAAGACATAACAGAAGATACATTATTCACTCAGTTGTATTGATTGTTATCCTAAAGTACTTTGAGGATCCTTATTTTTGTGGTTAACTTAGTAAGACACAGCTGGCAGGACCAAAATCAACTTAGTGATAATGACTGTCAATAACAATTATGTAAGGAATAAAGCTTTGTTTTTCTGCTTTCAGCAAATCTGGAAGCTGAGTGAATGTGCTGTTCTCCTGTTGCTATAGTAATAGAGGACACTGCCCCTATTTTAGACTTGTTGTCTGGTTGCTGTTGCCATGGGATTTGCATCTCTCTCTCTCTCTCTCTCTCTCTCTCTCCCTTTACCTACTGTTTTCCTTCCACCACACTTCTGTTTCTGTACCCCTCCCTGTCCAACGATTCATTGGTCTCATTTGCTGAGTTGCATCTTTGTGGCATTATCACTTTGCTAAAACCAACAGACTTATTTCCAGTTCTGCTGAATTTGCATATTGATTGGACACTAGCATCTAGCCTAGATCTGTCCACTGAGCAGCACGTGTGTGTGTGTGTGTGTGTGTGTGTGTATTGAGTGAAAGCTGGGAAACATCTGCTTATTGACTGCACATAATACCATTATCCAGAGTGACTACGAGTTTTTTTTCTGCATTGTGAGGCATGCTATTCTGCATCTGTCAATTTTGCTGAAGTTGAGTGAATCTGACTGTTCTGTGCTGAACTCACATGTCAAATCCATCTTTGTTAATCTGAGTCATTTAAAGGGACAGTTTTGTTTTTTTTTACAGAGGGGCAATTCAGCAAAACGCCCACTGTGTGGTAGCTGTTGTATGAGAGTATTTTTGAGGGATTTGTAGAAAAGCAACCTGATGCAATCTAGATAAATGTGGTCGTAATGGAGATCAGATTGAGATAGTATAGCTGGTGAAGTTGGAGGGTCTCCCAGGAAATCGCTGACTGCTTTATCTGTCTGTATTAATTGGTCCACCGAGGGCTTCCTGTTTGTGCATCATGAGAGAAATCCAAGGTGCCGCTTATGACAGCGCTGCTGCATTTCCCTGTTGTCTCCACTATTAAGTACAATTTCCCCTATCATTATTTAGGAAAAGATGTAAAATGAGTTAATTACACTTCAAAATACCTTCAGTTCTCCCTCTTGCTTTAGATAATCAAGTGGGCTTAGTGTATCTTTGCAAAATCTGGATAATCAACCTTTTCCACATTTTTGAAACAGCACAATCTAATTTAACAACTGCTGAAATAAGGAGAAGATGCAAGATGGCATAAACAATTTTGGATCAAACTCACCTTCAGATATGTTTGAGGTTTTTATTAGTTTTCTATTGTGAGACAAGGCTGTCCATCAATTGATACTAACATTCATTGTCTGAACATTGTGTGCGAGCTGAGAAGTCAGAAAAGTCAATGCTGCATGCCAAGTGCATGTATGGCACGTTAGTGGTGGTTACACCATCATTTCATCATCATCTCTCTCAGAATTTATTGTCCTCAACTTTTGCCCCTCTTTGAACACATTGAAGAAAACATGGAATTCAGTTACAACTTGTGAATGGAAGCCTCTCCGAGGGGATTTGTGGATGTTTTTTGTGTGTTCAGCCTACAAATTACTAATTTGTTTCTATGTTTAGCATGAATATTATTCATCAAGTCTCAAGAAACTGACAAGCATAATGTAAATTTTCACGAATGTTTAAATTCATGAACGTTTAAACTAGGCTCACTTCAATTGCCTGTAGCCGTGACAGATGTGAACCAGTCTGTCACACGGATATGTTTATTTACTACTCCTCAAGGACTTCATGGTAAATTAGAGGTGTTTGATGAAAAAGTCTACTATGTCTGTTTTGTCCTCCTTTGGGATGTAACGGCTTTTAGGAGATCACTCCTAACTAGCTGTAACTCCTGAAGGCACCTTGATAAAAGCATCTGAAAGGAAGCATGGCAATCAAAGTACAGCGTATACTGACCTGATGAGATAAAATTAAATCTCATAAAAGTTTATTTTAATATCTTAGATTGACACATATTATGGATGGAAAATGCAGTTTTATGCAAAAATTCATATAGGGAAAAGTAATAGAATTTACAGATTAAAAAAACAGAACATCACTGAAAACAGAATAATCAGGATTGATTGTGAAATAAAAATATAGGGTCCCAGAGTTTCTCATGGATTTACTGTTAGTGCCTCCCTTGAGCTGTTCAGATCGTTAGCCATTTAAACAAACATGGCAAAGAGGTCCCCAGTGGTCCCTCGGTGTCATTCGCAGCACTCAGTCCACGTCCTGCTGCTCTGCAGAACCATTAAAACCCCAGAGCTCAACATCTATCACCTTTGGGCTTTACACATATTCATTCAGGCCATGTACACTTAACACAATGTGTACAGTACGCTCAACTTACTCTCGGCTTATTTGAGGTTGACACAGAACTTTAAAAACGAAATACTAAGTTTAAGTTTTTGCCACTATAACATTATAACTCTAGTATAGTGGTACTTATACTGGACAGTGAGGAGACACCGTACAGGGAGGAGGTCCAGTATCTGCCCGACTGGTGTAGAGACAATAATCTGGTCCTGAACACCACTAAACCTAAGGAGACCATTGTGGACTTTGAGATCAAAGAAGACCGCCCATCCTCCCCTCCACATAGAGTAAACAGCGAGGAGGTAGAGCATGTAAATCACATCAGATTCCTAGGAGTCTATATAACAAAAGAACTCTCCTGGTTTATTAGTCTCTCTGCTTCTGTTGAGGAAGGCTCAGTAAAGACTCTTCTTTTTAAGGAAACTGAAATGGGCCAAACCTCCCCCTCCGCTCCTGGTTAACTTACCACAGCACCAATGAGAGTATTCTCTCCTTCCGTATCCCAGTGTGGTATGGCAGCTGCACCGAAGAGAACAAGACCGACTTGGCCCAAGTTGTTAAAACTTCACAGAGGATAGTGGGAACTGAGCTCCCAAATTTGGACACGGTATATGCTAGCTACATAAAAGGGCTAGCTAGTAAGGATGTGACTTACCCAGGACACAGACTGCTCACCCCCCTGCCATCGCAGAAGAGATATAAAGCCATAAATACATACACAGATAGACTTCAGTCGGTTCATTTCCATATTACATTTTAGTCATGTGGATAATGTTTTCATCTACAGTAAATTTATATGAACTCAACTCTAAATCTAATTCATTAATCACAATCAAAGGTACTGAGAGCAGAGGTCAAGGCCATAGTACCCCAACCATGACCTATAGAACACAAATTATTAAATACCATAGCTTACAAAGAAGTAACCAGTACTATCTAATATTTGGGTGGGCAGAAGGACAGTAGGGCTGATATATGAGTGCGACCAAATGAATCACACAAAGATGTTGGAAAGTACTTCACTTTTGTGGCTGATAGTCAATGGAATAAAAAACAATAATATTCCACACTGCAGCTGTTTTCACAATCTATGTTTATGTTGGCCTCATTAGGTCAACACTGGCACTTTCCCCTCTGGATATTTTTCAGATATCACTGTTGTGCTTGTAATTTAATGATTTGCATATCATGTATCCTATTTTCACTTAACGACCTTCATTTTAAGTTCCCTTCAAAGAGAGTGAAGATGATTTCCTCAAAGCAGTAAACATTAAAAGTGGAACTTTCAGTGGTGTATCAGATGCATTTAGTGAAAGATGCTTTCATCTGCTACGTCTCTCTCTCTCTCTGTGTGTGTGTGTGTGTGTGTGTGTGTGTGTGAAACAACATGTTCAGGGTTGGGCAGGAGATTTTTCTCTTTAATCTCCTAAATTACTCTGAAATCACATGTGGATATGAAAACTTTGAAATTACAAATGTTTGTAGTAAAAATGTTGTGAAGGCTGTGGGAGTGGAAGTGTTTGACAGGTGAGGCTATAAAAAGATTTCACCATTTTCATCAGCATTTAGGTTAACATCTCCCATTATTACTGACAAAATCACTACTAATTCACAGCCTGACTATCTTATTTGTACTATAAAGGCCTGGGGGAAAAGGCCAGTCTGTGACTGTGAAAGTGAGGAGAGATCACCCTCAGCTCATAAATATTTCACCCACAATAAGGCTGGGTGTCACTCATGCTCATCACCACAAAAACAAGCTCACACTGCCCTCTTAAAGATCTGTTTATTATTCGACGGGGCAATCCAGAGCCTCAAAGATTCTGAATGGCACGATACGTGAAAATCTTTCCCAAGGTCAGAGAAACATTAAGTGTTGCGAACACTGTCAGTGAAAGTGAAAAGAGATAGACTCCAAACATTTATCACTAAACACAACATGGTTTTCACTTCAGAAAATTAGCATATCAAGAGCTAGCTGGTACCTGTCAGGAGCAATGTGTGTTTTTGCGATTACCTGCATGTGTGTTAACTATTCCAGTGATCCCTGCAATACACAGATCACACAGCCCAGTCACATATTATTATCTATGTGCACATACACCTCTCTTTCACTGATTTGAGCCGAGAGCATGAGAAGAGATCCACGTTACATGATGTCAAATTTCTCACTGTTGAATCATGCATGTTAAGTTGCATGTAATTTCACTTCACTTTTTTTTTTTTTGCTTTTATGTGGCCTCCCTAGTGCTGAGTGAGCCATGTAATTAATACACAGAGCCAGAAGTACAGATAGGAGGTATGATTTTTGTACTTCGGGAACAACCTCTGTAGCTAACAGAACTAATGAGTCAATTAACTAATTAAACCACCTGCCAGTTCTTCTGCAAATAAAGTTGTACTGTCTTAAAGGGAACACCTATTGCATGCTCTCATTTGGTAGCTTAGAGTTTATGATGTTTTTTAAAGAAAGCTGGTAATTAAGGACTTGGTTATGAGAGAATCTGAAGCAAGAACGGGTTTGTAGCTGGATGTGTCCACTTTAGCCAACAAACTCAGACAAGCCAAGCAATGGATTTGGGTCACATTTTTATTTATTAGATGTACACGCTAGATTTACAGTATCATTACAGGACTATAATTTATGTAGTTTGTTAAAACGCTAATAGAATGCTTTATTTGACGTAGTAGTGTAAAACACGAACACATGAATGCTTTGTTAGTTGTCTGAATGAAAAGCTTTTGAAACAATATACAGTACAGAATGACATTAAAATTTGTATTCTAAAAATCTTACAAAACATTACACAAATTATTTGGCTCTAAGTAATGTTTAGCTGAATAAGAAATGTGACTTTTAAAATATTTTAAGAATATTTGCTACTAAATCCTTAAGAGATTCTTTTTTCATGTGAGAAAAGTTAAACTCTGAAAAAAATACAAAGGTATCAAAAGGAAAAGCATCAGTTAGAGTGATAACACTGCATGCATAGGTCAACTTCAGAGGTGTAAACAGTTTGAGCTTATATGAAATGTTTATCAAAAATGATATTGTAATTAATAGTGGTATATTTTGGCAACAGAATGTGACTGATGTAGTTTTGTCTCCACCGGGCTCCCTGCATGAATCCACTGGCAGCTTCTTCAAACTCATACTGGCTGAAAGATAAGTACAACTCATAGATTCTTTCATAAATGCACCTCTGTCATTATTAAGTCCTCAGACACATCAGACTTATAATGAGAGCACCAGTTTATTCATCTCTGTCCGTTATAGACCATGAGGCTGTGCATCCTGGTGATTCCAGCTCCAGCACAGAGCAGCTCAGATCAGCTCACAGGTGTCTGGGTGCTCACTCGGTCCATGTCATCCCCCCGATCTGTCACCCAGTGGTCCCTCAGCTCATGAACTGTGTGTAACCCTCGGCGCCTGTTACTATGACATCCATCCAGATTCTCATGGCCTCTGGGGACGGCGCCACCATGTAGTAGAGACGGTCGTGGGTTTTCACACAGAAAGTCAAAGTCGGGTTGGGGCTCTGGAGGTTCATGGGGAGAGGGGGAGACGCTTTAGACGAAAGATTGCAAGATGCACCTGTGGCGTCTTTTTCCTCTGAGACATGTTAGAACAACACAATGTTCTTTCTTCTATAACAGTCTAATATAGATACTCTCTCTACCTCTATAACACTGCACCTCATAATTTAAAACATTCCCATTTTTATTTAGCACTGACATCTGCTTTGACACCAGGGCATTTATTACTTGTTTATGTTTTAACCACTAGGCTACTAACAATATTTCCACAATTTGTGAGTGACCAGAAAAATAGTATTATTATTCTAAAGTTTATGTGCCATTTTGATGAACATCTAAATTATACAAGTTGCTTATTAGGACTAACCATTAAAGTTTGAGCTGTTTCAAGACCTTCACTTATAAATGATGAGTATAAGGAGTCATCTGTGATTTTAAAACACCAAACAGAATAAACAGCATTTCAACCCGACTGGTTTTATTCTGTTACATGAACTGATAAATTTAAAAAATGATTATTTTTAAAAAAAGCATAAGATAGTTCTGAAGTGTAATGAAACAAAAAGCGTTTACCTTGGTGGCACTGCGGAGGTGATCGTAATAAACCTCTTCAATCGCCTGAAAGTAAATGAGCCCTTTCAGCTTGGTCTCATGCTTGTCTGAGAGGAAAAAAAGGGAAAATATATTGAGATACATTACATTACGTCTTGTACTGATGCAAGACCTCTGCCAGCCCAAGCACCAGGCAGTACAACCAGCCAATGATGTGGCTGTACATAAGTTTTTGGTCAGATAATATTAGACGGATAAGAAAATGTTTTATTATTTTTGAGACCTGCAGGAAGATAGATGAAATTTTTAGAAGTATATGACAGTACTCTTCATCTGGCCTCATAATTTTAATGATTTACTTGAGATTTTACCCTAAAACAGGGTCATCTGAAACATCAGAATAAGTTTATGCTTCTAAACAATATATAAGAAAATAAGAAAAAATAAAGCCAGCAGAATTTTTTTTTCCATTTTTAGAAAATCCTAATCCCTGTCTGATATATAAAGTCTTCTCTAATGTACAGAATAGGCTGCTGCTGGTGGACGGAGGAGCTAAAGTTGTACAACTGTAAACAAACTACACAGACAAAATGTGGCTTTTTTCAGGAAGATGGACAAAAGTGAAGTTAGAAGCAGATTCATTTTACTGGAGTCACTTTTAAACCACCAACAACCCTTTTCATTTTTCCTATGAAAATGTGCAATTCGCCACCACTCTTTTTTCATTTTTACTATCAGGCCAAGCATTTTTTTTGTCGAGACAAATTTCCTTCTGCCTTTTTTTATAAGCGATGACTGAACTGAACACAAATCAATACGCCTAAAATTGCCAGAGGGTCAGAGCAATTCAATAGTGAATATGTTTGACCGGATTGTTTATTGTAGCTCAGTTGGATTACATTAAGGACAACTTCTTTTAAATGGATTATTTTCCCTAATATTGTTAGATTATAAAAATTCAGTCCATCAATGAAGTAGTGTAATTAAAACAGATGATACAAAACCAGTTTTGAGTGAGAAAGGTGTAACACATAATCCATTATTAGATATGAGCACTGCTGCATCAGAGCAAAAGTTAATTTAAACTATAAATTTTTACCATCCCATTAGTCTGACTTGTTTTCTTCACTCGTACTTTGTGGATTGTTTTCTTTTCAGCCGTTTCCCTGCTGGCAAGGTGGACATCTTTTGTAAATCTTAAAAAGAAATGCCTCCTTAGAGTCTTTCCGTTCAACAGTTCCCTTCAAACATGTCAGAGCTTGTGTCCAGTCCTGAAGACTGCTGTCGTCTGCTCTCAGTTTGGTAGTTATGTTTCAGTGAAACCTGTATGTGAAGCTCACATACTGGACACAGTCACTGGACTCATGGGTTTTTCCAAAATGGGATGAAACTAAAGGCATTTAAGACTTTCCTCTTGTCTGCAAGATTAGTTGTTTTTTTTTTAATAAAATCTGTTTCTGAATTCTGGTCTTGTTCAAATAAACAGTGGTCTTTTCCTTTTAGCCTCTTTCATGCACCCCGGAGCACCCAGCTAAGAAACAAACATCCAACAATAATTAAAGGCAAACTTCTGAAATATGTCCGACACTTTCTCCCGCTCCCTCTTTTCCATAAGTCAAATCTGCTTAGTAATGAGATAAATGTTTTTGAAATGTGAGTTTCGTTTTATTAGTCACGAACAAGCCAGGAGCTAGCCTCCTCCCCAAGAAAAACACATCTAGAGAAAGTATTGCATCTTATTTCATCACCATCATCACCATCATCTTCGTCAGGAGTGAGGGGGTGAAAAGGCTAGGCAAGTGAGTGGAGAGAGGAGCAAAGAGAACAGGGGCGACGGTAATGAAAACATACTTGGATTCCATTCTGAACTTGACTGTAAAATAACGTCTCAAAACGTGCCTGTCAGTTATTTAAAAAAACAACAACAACCTGCTCCCATTTCAGTTTGTGAATTACAAACTGAATTAAGTTTTAACGCACAAGAACAAAGCAGGAAGTTCCACTTAGTGCAGCTTTAATTAGCACTTTGTTCCACATGAGTAAACGTTGGGACAGAAGTTGGGTTTACTATTGAAAAACACAGAGAGGGCAAAGTGTGCATTCATCAGGCGAGCTGAGTAAATCAGGTGTTGACCTGGTGTACAGCTGGAAACATTTCAACATAAAGTTCATATGTACTATACTGTATATGTGAGCAAAGTGATCACTATTTAATTTGAAGCCCCATCTATAAATGAAGCCCAAGACTTGAAGGGGATGTGTGTAATAATGCTATTAGTCCAACAGAAGAAGTCCTGTTGGTGCAGAGGGCACTGAGGCTCAAAGGCACTAGGAGATAGGATGTTGCTCTTTAAGTATTATTTGCAAATTTTGAAGAAGACTTTAACAAACAGTCTTAAAATATGACATGTTTCTGGAAAAATGTGGTGTCAGCAGTTCTATATGAAGCACAGGTTACAGTCAGCTGCTACAAAATGCTAAAAACAAAATGACAGGAGTTCTGGTATGTTGCCATGTCTAACAGTAATCAGGATCAACAAATTAACTTCATAAAACCTAACAGGTTCCTAACTTTCTTAACTGCACTTACTGACTGGACTGCATCATTCTGATTGGTTTGATTTGTATGGATTTTATTTCTATTTTGTTTTTCCAATACTGATATTTTGATGCCATTGTGACATCTGTGTTTTCCTTATTTTTAATGTAATACAGTGTTTTTATTTCTGGCATATTGTTCAAAGCTAATAACTGATCACAGGAAAAGTTAGCTTTAAAAGCTCTATGTACTCTTAGCTTGATTACTGAAATGAACTGGTACACGACCTGAAGTCATAAAGACTCATTTACTCATTTAAGAGATTAGATATATTTTTAAAGCATTTCTGACTGTTTTCTTTTGTGCTTGCATGTGTGAAAGTAGTTTTGTGTAATTAAAATATCTCCGGTGCATGTTGATTTATCTTCAGGTGTCCCCTGTTAAAAAGATCTCAGTAAGACTTCTGATTATACCATCATAACATAAATGAAATGTCACTGCATCCTCACCCACGTAATAGCAGAAGTTCCTCTTGAGACGGTCAAAAACGAACCAGCGTTTCTTCCAAGATTTGATTTTGCCACCCATCTTCACCAGGTGGCCCTTACACATCTTCTCTGTGAGGATGACGTAGGGGCAGGTATCTATGCTGTGGCCAGACGACTCCACATGAGCACGCAGGTCAAACTCTTCTTTACGGTTGGGTAGATAACGTGTCATTGGACGGGCCTAGGAAGAAAATGTTTCATTTAGCTTTATTGTAATGAAGACCAAGCTTTCACAAGCAAATTCCAAGATGCAGCTGTTTCAACTCCCTGAATATTGACCATTAAAAAGACCTGGCATGTGATAACAGCATCAGACCAACAAACAAAGCTGTCATATCATCAAATAGCTTATTAAAAGCAAACTTACCACTTGTATACACATCAGCATGATAATATCTACCAAAAACAACAGATATCATGTCTGGGAAAATTTATGATTTGTAGTTTGAGTTTTTACGACAGTTCATGTCCCATGCACTAACATGAAGGAACCAAGATTTATGACCTAATATACTGCAACCAGCCACTGGTGAGGGGGGCAATGACTTTTGGTGGCTTCACTTCTGGGAGCTCTCAGCCTGTACATTGTTGTATACATTCAATATTCACTCTATTTTTAGCTCTCTTTTGGTGGAAGTATCTACCTATCTGCTAAACACTCTATGTTTAACAGCTAGCCGCTAACTTTGCTGTGCAGGTAGTATGTTGTATGGTGGGATTATTAGAGGTTTTAGCTAAAAACAGCTGCCGGGTGAACGTGAACCACAACAGTGAAGTTGTGAGCGCCATAAAACCAAAACACTGAATTGAAAGATGCAAAATTCTCTGACACACTTAGGGAAGAATGTGGTGATAATTCTCTGTGGGGTTTCACTAGAAGCACTGTCGTTCACATTACAGTCGGTCATTTGATTGTTCATATGAAAATATTGATTATTGATTATTAACACATTTTCAAGCATGTGGCTGTGTTAATAAGCTGGGCTACATGCATTTGTATTTGAGCCTATTTGTCTACTTCTACCCATACAACAGCAGGTAATAATTAAACAGTCTACCAAGCTTAAAGCTTGAATTATGTGTAGATTATGTTTTTGTTCTTTCTGTTCTTCCTCTATCTGACCCCCTCCCCTCCATTTTGTCCCTTCCCTGACAATCTTTGATCTTCTCATACACCCAGCCTCTCTTTAGTGTCTCGCCTCTCATCCTCCCCTCCAACCCCTCCTCCCCCTCCCCTGTCTTCTTCCTCCTTCTTCTTCCTCGCTGCCGTCTCCTCTCGCTGTTCCACTGACCTGGGAGAAGTGTTTCTCTCTCATCTTCACCTCCTCCTCCACCAGCCTCTGTCTGTGGGCCGTCTCGTCCTGGAGCCTTCTCTCAGCTTCCTCTCGCCTCCTCCGCTCCTCCTCCAACATCTGCCACCGAGCCTGCACCTCCCTCTCCTGGGAGTGTCGGGAGAGGAGAAAGAGGAACAGATGGAGAGAAGAGAATAAAAAAAAAAATAACATGGGGAACAGGGAGATGGGGAGAATATGTTAATGGTAGGCAAATATTGCAATACAAAGTGGATGACTGTCAGAAGAGGCACATGAGAATTCAAGTCCCAAACCACGGTTTTGTAAAATATATCCCTCAAATCTGTATATAGATGTGTAAGCTTTGCTGATGTAAAATGATCCTTTGCAGCTTTCAGATGCTTACACACAGGTTTATTTTGTCTCAGTATGAAGAAATAGTATAGAGTTTAAGGTTAAGTTCTTAAAACTTTATGCCACCACTCCTTAAACTTGCTGATCACTTTGAGAATGATATACTGTGTTTTTTATAGAAACATGGGACTTCTGCAATAATTCAGTGTTCCAGTTTATCAGCTTTTATTTAAAAGTTTAACATCAGTTTGATGATTTCATGTGATTTGCATACATTTCCCATACTGTGACATATACATGGATATCCTATTAATAATACTGTGACACTGGTTTTATCCACATCGTCTAGCCCTAAATCCTCCACCCGAATGTGTCATCATAACAATAATCTACATGTTTGATGTGCATTCTTGGCTGTGATGTGATCATTTTAATATCTGCCTGAAACATAAATATTACTAATTAAGGGTGCTGATCAATTTAATGTCTACTACTGAAAACATATATTATACTAGTGCAATGTTTATTATGTCAGTAGCAATAACATGTGAAACTACAGTGATGATTGATATTCATTAATCTGCTATTTTCCTGATTAACATATTTATTATCTTTAGAAAATGTTACAAAATAGTGAAAAATACCAGTTATAATTTCTCACAGCCAGAGGAGATGAATTCAAATTTTGTTCACCAACAATTTACAATCCAAAGTTATTCAGTTCGCTGTCATATATGACACTGAGAAGCAGGAAGGCTTCGCACGGAGTGTAATCTCTGTTTGAAAATGACTAAAACAATGAATCAGTAATTGATTAATCAAGTAGCTGATTAATCAATTAATTGAGTATTCTGTCTGAAACCTTAAGTGAACTTGAAGGAAATGTTGTTTTGGAAGTGACAGGAAACGGATGTCCAGTCATGTTAGGATGGCATCTTCATGTCAAAGGCAGTAAATCTGGGAACCTACTCGGTTCTCAATGAGCCTGGCTTTCTCCTGCTGTGCTTCTTTCAACATCTTCTCCATCTCTTCTATCCTCTGGGCCTCTACCCCACAGGCACTACAACACACAGAGGGAAGGAGCGTCTGATGACACAGCTATGACAAGGCTTGGCATGAACAACGCAAACAAAGATGCCTGGGGACCAGACACTGAAAGCAGCAGGGAAAGAAGACAAAGGTTTCTTCATAAACAGTAACCAAAATGGAGTTCTTGAATCTAACTTCATGAAAACACTGAAAACTTGAAGAGGTTGGCATGGCAACAGCCGGTGCACTAGTCATGTAACAAAACATGTTGTCATAGGAACAAAGCGCAGTGACCCTTCTCCTGGGAGCCGGGGCAGACTTGAGTGTTCCCATGGAAACAGAGCCAACTGCTCTCTTTCCAGTCTCTCACCTTTCTGGGGTACATGCAGAGTTGCCGGTGGAGACGCTGGTCTCCATGCTGTCTGAGCTCTCCAGGCTGAGAGTGTCATACGCTTGGTTTCCACTCGGTGGCGACTGATGATGCAGGATGGAGCGATGGACTGTGGGAGACACATCTGTGCAAGCAGAGAGAGTGCAGACAGCTGTCACAGACTCACAGTGCCCTCTATTGACAGTGTCAAGTCAGTGCTTCTAGCTAATTCTAATCAGATCCACAGCATGTTTAACTAGGAAGACCTGACATGCTGGTGATATGTATTGTTGCCACATTTTAAAGAATAAGAGGCTATACTCTTTCTTCGTCTTCCAGATTAAATGACCGCACCTCTCTGTAGACTTGTATCTGTCTACAAGTCACATGGTCATGCCAGGTGAAACCCCCAGTGTGCTAAAGAAATGAGTCAGGGCTGAAGGACTCCAGTACCTTTGCTCTGCAAAGCCAACTGCCTCCTGGACTCCATGTCTAATGGATTTGACATCTCTCTCCCTACTAACTGTAACCCCTGGAAAACACACAGAAAGCATCACACATTGAACTACAACTAAGAAGATCTGATCACAGTTTAAGCAAGTGAAACTGATGTGATCACCTTGGTTGATGCAGTTTTCTCAGGAGCGACACCACTGGAGTGTGGCAGGGCTGCAGCACTGCTGACATGAGTGCATGATGCTCCCCGACCAACCTCGTCATCTGATTTGGACTTCAGTAGCTGAAGGAAGACACATCAGTCTATCTTTTTAAAATTTTGAAGTAGATATGCTTTTGCACCAAAATGCTTGGAGATTCTTTTAAGAGCCCTAAGACTGAGAGAACTGTGGAGTTGGTTTAGTTTGCGCTTTTTGACTTGCTATTTCCAAGTTACATTTCAGGGGGAGACATAATATCTGAAAACACAGGGCTCTTCTGAACAAGTTAACAGGATTAGGGTTGTTGTGGTGAACTGATCTGACCTTTGTCTTAACTCTTTCTCAGGCTCTGAATTTCAATTAGTGACTTGTTCATCTTTACTTCTTCACTCTGTCTTTGACTCTATATTTATTGCTGTTCTTTTTTTGTTTCTCACCTTCTCAGCTGAGCACAACAATCATAATTTCTGTGTTGATGTTGGAGCACTATGATTTATGGTAACTGTCTTCTGATGCTTACTTGTAAAGCAGTGGCCACATGTAACACTGTCAGCTAAAACACTTCCTTTTCAGCTCACAACATTTTTAACAGTTACCAACTGAAGATTACACTAATATCAGCATATAGGATAACAATCACCTTTACTGGCTAAGGATGTTACACACAAGGAATTTGTTTCCGGTACAGAACCGAGGCAGCCATCTGTGGTGCTGAGTCAGATCAACTGATGGCTCTGACCACTGGGGGCAACTTGGGGCTTCAGTGTCTCGCCCAAGGACACTTCGACACGTGGACTGCAGGCACCGAGATTTGAACCTCCAGTTGGGAGACAACTGTTCTACCCACTGAACCACAGTCGCCCCACACCAATATCCCTGACAAATCTCAGCAACATTGGTTTTTACATCACTGACCACTGTACCTTTAGGAGAGGTTTGCAAAATACCCTGTTTTGTGCACTAGAGGGCCTCCTAGTCATGACAATATGGATAGTTGAATCGCCTGGTTTCAGGAGTTTAAGACAACGATGTGTGTGGCCTGTTGTAAGTGCCCTTTTTGCTAGAGGCTGAATTTGAACACTGAAAAGCAAGAGAGTTTAAAGCGGTGAGTGAGAAACAATGGTGAATTTACCTGGCTGTGTCTACGTGTGGAAAAAGACTTTGCAGGCAGTGGTGGAGGACATGACTGAGGGTCTCCAGCAGCCATGATGTCCTGGTACCAGCGCTCGAGGTTAATAGGAGGCATTGCATCTCAGGCTGGCTCTGAGGTGATGAAGTGCATTGAGGCAAGGAAAAAAAAGAAGCAGCAAAGCAATAGCATCAATAATGAAAGCATCAGGCAGGTAGGAAAGATAAACTGTGATCAGTCTGTGTGACAATATCAGGCTGAGACAGCTAAGCTCGGCTTTAGGATGGCTGTAATGTTGTGAAAACTGAGTGGTGACAGCTGGTGATTACAAAAAAAAAAAGCTGGCTTCATTGGCTATGAAAGACAAACCTGTGCAGAGCGAAAGGAGGAAGGACCACATGCCGTTGAGTGGCATGAGAAGGTGGATTCAGAGGAGGCAAGTTGGAATAATGGAATAGAGGAGGAAGAGGAGGGGTCAACTCTCTGCAGCCCAAAGATCTGACTCAGCTGACTGACTGTGATGTACTCCTTTATACAGTTAACCGCCCCATACAGATGTATGGAGAAACAGGACACACAAGAGGAGAGCAGAAAGAGGAAAACAAAAGAAACATTTTGAGAAAACATCGGTATTTAGTACATAGACGAGTCAGAAACGAGAGTGTGGCAGAGCCGGCAGAGTGTCTACCTCACATGGCAGAGGTGGAGCTACAGAGGGGGAGAGGCAGTGGAGAGCAGCAGGGGAAGAAGAGGCAGGTTGCATAGGAGCATTTCCATACATCTTATAGACATCAGCCAGCCTGAGGTACTCCTGCATCAGCAGCCGAGACACAGGGATGACAAAGGTGAATGCAGCAATAATCAGCACTTAGAAGAGTCATGCAAGGATTCACAAAGCAAACATGCGGACATCACACCTCGCCTGGCCTCTAACTTTGAAGTAGTGGCGTTGATTTTACTCTAATCATACGGTTTGCCCCTTCTTTTGCATTATGATGTTATGTTTTGCTGTAGAAATCAACTCTCCTCAAATACAACCGTTCTAGATGGTGTTAACCACTAATCTGAAGAGTGTACAAGCCTCTAACAAACACACTATATACAGGTAGGCAGAAATCTGACCTACTAACATACACACTGCAAGCTTGCTGATGTTTGTCAGTATTCACTAAAACACCTTCATGCCAACTTTTTACTGTAGAAACTGCAGCACTGATATTTGGGATTTGTTTTGTTGAGCTTTACCTCTTGTAGCCTAACAGGACAGAGTTGAGGGGAAGGGATGTGAGAGGAGGAGAAGGAGGCAGAGGAGGGACAGGGGCTATGAGCACGACCGTCCACGTAAACAAGGTTGGGTTCGCTGATGTGAAGTGTTTCCTGTTTAAAAAGTTAATATTTTTTGATAAAAATCCACTTTGCAGTAAATTTTCTACGGCTTGGAAACCACAGGTGGTTGTGACATCTTGTCTCCTGCTCACCTCTTTCATACTGCCATCGTGCTTTGGAAAGCTTCTTCCTCCTGTCAAAGAGCGGTATCTCTTCTCCAGGGTGCACAGTCTGTCTTGCTCCTAGCAGGCAGAACCAGCATGGACAAACATATGTGTGCTGTCACACTAGCTAGTCATAGCTACCAGCACTATTATCAATTAAGTGCACTGCAGTTAAGACCAAGTTCATTACGAGAGGCTCACACTGTGTAACAGCTGCAGAGTCACTGTCCTGTCTTTAGCCATCCTCTCACAGTCCTGAGCCGCCTGCAGCCCCAGCTGCTTCACCTGAGCTTCCAGAGCGGCCATCTTCTCCTGAGAAACAGCATGCCATATAATCACATGTAGATTTTACAAACATACAGTATATGTGATCACTGCTGTACATATATGGTATAGCCCCACCTTCCTGTTCCTCATGCTGCAATAATACTCAGCTCGCTCTTGGAGAAGCTGTGAGCTCTGAGTCTCCTTCTTCTCCTCCAGACTGCTCTCCTCCTCCAGCTGGCAGAACTCGAGTTCCTCAAATTGCTTGGTCCCAGATTCCAGGGCCTCAGCTTTCTGTCCACATACAGATACATGCACTGTTTGAAATAACTAAAACAGAATTATTTCAAGATAAGGCTGGCAATAGTCTGTATTTTTCTTATTCTATATTATTCTTATGCCATGAAAAGACCAAAACCAACTAGTATTTTCTGTGTAGCCAAAGCCTGATATAATGTAACTGTTATTCAGTGTCGTCCTCTGTTGTCAACAAACTATTAAAATATGTTAATTAGTCACAAATGCACTTCGTGACATGTCCATTCACTATGACGAATGCGGACAACAGTTTATTTTGGTTTATCCTGCATAAAATAATCACTAGTGCATGTTAATCCATGGTTAAAAATAGCACCAAGGAAATGCACAGTTTACTCCTTTGCTAAAAAAGTATAGTGCACAGCTGTTTTTTTAGTTTTTTTGAAAATTCCTTTGCCTTCTTAAAAATGGCACCATACATTTGTAATCTTCAGTGGCAACTGATGGTTCCCACAGAGTTAGGCCAGAGAGGTTGCACAGATGGACTAAAACACTGTTGGTTTTGTCAAAGGAATAGATTCACAAATTTACACTGTCAGCAGATCTGACAATGTTCTGCCTAAAAACATTAAACCGGTGTAGGTAACTTGAATCATTCAAAGTCAATTTTCAAATGCAAAAGGCATGCAAATGTTTAGAGCAAAGCTGTTAATAACATTACTGATGATTAGTGTGCCTGCTTTGCAAAGCAAAGAAGGAACACTGTTATTGTTGCCCATACTTATTATTACTAATTGCAATTTACATAGTCAAGCATCCATAATGAAGGAACAGCAGGCTAAAATGTCTGCTAGAGTAGCAAAAGCATTACCTAGTGTATAGTCACATGTATAAATGGCAGTGACATAATAAACCTTATATGTTTAAGTACTGAGGAGCTACAGCAGAAAAAGAGGAAATGCACAGTCTGCAGATTTATGAGTAACTCTAGGTGCTTCAAAGCAGCATCAGTGTTATGTCTGTGGCTGTTTCTGTGCAGAACATACAGTACTGTGGTATTTATTATAACTCACTGTTGCCAGCCAGTGGGCTGCGTGAGAACACTGACCCTGCTGAGCTGCTCCTGTAACTGTTCCCTTAGAGACAAGGGGCATTTATCAAACTGCCTCTTCAGCTCATTGTATTCATTCCTCTGCTTTTCCAGGACCTTCCGCTCAGCCGACACATTAGCCCTGCCCTAAAAACACATAGAAACACACATATACATACACACAGTTGGGTCCACATTCACACATACACCACCCCAGGGAGAAAAAAAAATCACAGAAAACTCAAATCCATGCAGCCAAGCGTTTAAGTTAACAAGCCTAAGCACTTAAAGTATTAGAAGAGTTGGCAGGAGTGTTAGAGGTTAGATGCTCTCTGAATCAGCATTTGAGTGTTGGTCACTTCCAGCTAAAAGCCAAACACACATAAACAAGATTTCTGTGGTTGTTTTTGTACTTTTAAACATGAGAACTGCTGGATAATGCAGACAGAAGATAGTTTGTGTATTAGGACACACACACCTGCTGAATAAGCAGTGCAAATCAGCTGAGACATCAGGAAACAGTCTACAGACACTTAGATTGTTTGCACATTCAGGAAGGAGTGAGTTTTCTATTTTCAAACAGATGTTCAAGAACATTCACATGCAAACTTTATATATAAGACCAATGGCTCTGAGCAAATTGACAGCATTTACTGCATCATTGTTTTGTCCTTGGTACCCACTGTGTCCTTTGCTTTCTGGGTGGCCTTGTCCAGTTGGCTGAGTTTGAGCTGCAGCTGAGAGATGATTTCATTTTCAGCCTCCACCTGCTCCTGCTCTGCCTGATGCTCTGCCTGCAGCAGGGCTTGCTCCATCTCCACCTGGAGATAGGTACAGTATGGAGTCCGAGTATGCAAACCACCAAGCGCTGTCAAGCTAATAAATACTTAACCAACTTCCACTCCTCTCACTATAAAGGTGAGGTTATCTAAAGGCATACATGTTTCACATGTTTGTGTGTCTGTTTGTGAGTGTTGACCTCCTGTTTGGTCTCCTGTAGCTGCTGCTCCAGTTCACCAACTCTGTGCTTTAAGTCATCGACCCTGGCCACAATCTTGTTCCTCTCCTCTTCCAAATAGACCTGCTCCTGACCAGCTAACAGCTCTTCACACTGAGAGCAGATTTAGGAAAACAGACTTTCAGATTCCTTGCCAGAGAAATACAGAGTGTAATTCTCTGCACACTTGTGTGCCTGCATGAATGTGTTACCTACCTCTTGGTGTGTGCTCTCTGTGCTGCTAGACTCCTCTCTCTGGGTTTCTTCATCATTCTCTCTCATGTGGGGTCTGTCTACTCTACGAAGGGACATCTCCCCTGCTGTGTCTGAGCAGGTTCCTCTAACACTCCCCAGCAGTCCACTCCTCCCCACCTCCGTCAGCTCCGCAACACTGTCCTCTTGATTATACTCCGCACACAAATTCAGGATGGACTCCAGCCTCTGCCGCTCCTATAGATGTGTGAGAAGTGAGCATGCAGCTTCAAATGTCCTTGTGTGACAATGTCCCATTTAGGCAGCTGTCCCTCAGATGCTGGCATGGGACAGCTGTAACCTGATAGCAGGAGGGCTGAGGTAGTTTGTCTCTCAGCTTATAGTGAAACCTGTCACAGCTAGATTAGTTAATGAAAACAGAGTCTGTCAGACTGTGATAACTATAAGAAGAATAAACATACAAGACTGGTAAGGTTTAGCTGCTAGCTGAGAGTATTGTAGATTACATTATACCCATTTTATTCTGAGATGCTTTAAAAGTTTCTTTTTTTAGATCCTTTAAATATTTTTTCACTGTGTTATGCATTTGTTTGATGTGCCACATGGTTACAGCTTGTGGCCATTCTGGTGTCTCCCATCACTGCAAACAGCAGGATTCTTGCCTTAATTTACCAAAAACCACACCAACTCTGTAATAAGCATCAACTTTTACTGCAAGATATACACACTAGACAGTTGTTTATGTTGTATAACTTCAATTTATTTTATTAGGCTTTTGGAAATTCTTTTTGTTGCCTAGTTTAGTCTTTGATGAAAAGCAGCAATAACATTAAAAAGAATTTTAACTTGTAAACTAACAGATTAAGTACGATATAGATATAATGACAAAAATATAAAGCTACAGTAAACAACACAATTTAGTTTAACCAACTTGTGGCGGTGGCTTAAATTAGAAGGGCATTTATGTCTGTTAAATTAAAGGTCACAGCCCGTTTACTATATAAAGACTTTAATTTAAAGACTGGGAATGGGGGAAACAGGCAGCCTGACTGTCGGAGTGTAACAAAACCTGCCTGATATCACATACCATAACAAGATATAACATGCATTAGTGAGCTTTACGGGGGCTGGTAGGCAGATTTTATTGCCTTCAGAAGGAGCCAGACAAGGGCTTAGATTTGCATATGGACAGTAGGCACTGGCAGAACGTCAGGGGGTGCAAGTGGTATGGCTGCACCCAGAGAGATACATCCCTATTATCTTTATTTTATCTTCACATATGTTATATAGTAGCTGAATGTTCACCACCCACATGGCATGCAAAGTTACATAAATCAAACACACCTTCCCAGCATCCTCTAGAACTTCAGCTAGAAGAAAGAAATGCAGAATGCTTACTTTGCTTTAACTTGACAACACAGGTCATCTGGAGGAGTAAAACTGCTTAAATGGAACAAAAACTCCTCTATCTTAGCATTACTAAAACTGGAATTAAAATAAATATGCTTCATGTATCACCATAGAAATTCCCCAAGTTAACTACAATCTTCTAAAAAAAAAATACAAACATTGCAAACCAGCAGTTTGATGCACCTCATACTAAAATTATGATTTCATTCCCTAGTTATGCACTTTACTTCTATTGTAAGTTCATGTGCAGCACTGGTTGTTCAGCAATACCCGTGTATCAGTGAAGTAAGGTAAAAAAAAAAAATCCTACACAGCTGTGCCAACTGTGCCAAGAGAGCAGTGTGCCAAATGTAGGGCAGCTGTTTCACTGAGAGGAAATCCTCTCTTTGTGTCTCTCATCTGTAGGTCTGCAATTTGTCATTTTTGTGTGTTTCTTTTAAGGCTGCTACACCAACAAGCTGCCCAGAATAAAATGAAGCTTCAAGACTAAGTTTGAATGGCCTGCTTAAATGAATAGTCTATTATTTTGGGAAATAATCTCATGCACTTTTTTATTAATTGCCTGGATACATTAACGTAGCTTAGACTGGAAAGAGGGGGGGAAACAGCTCACCTGGTTCTGTACTAGCACCTCTAAAGCTCAGGAAACAACATAGCCCATAATTCAGTATTTGTTTTTGTCCTGTCTTTCTGCTAAGCTAACGATCTCTTGGTTAGCTCCTGGTCCACAAACAGAGTGGTATCAATCAAATTCAGCCTGCATACATGTGAATTCATAGCCAGAGTAAAAAGGGTGGTTGTTGAGCAAAGTCACATTTCCATTAAACATTGTTTCACTGTTGGGTAGTAGAGTATGTCAGACTTTCCCACCCCCACAAAAATACCAAAGCCTATAAAAATAAAATTATGTAATGAAGGAAATGCCAAACATGGATCACAAACAACAAAACTAAAAATCATATCCTCGGGCAGAAAGATTTTTTTTAATCTGTGTATGTATTTGCAGTGGGAATGGCTTACATTGTTTGCACATGGAGATTACTGGATGACTCAACCCAAGGGTAGAGTAGTTTCGGCACGAACACGTACATACTGTATTTACAGCAGTCAAACATCTATCAGCCCGACTCAGATGCACGCTGTGAATAACTCTCCTGTTTGTTACCAGAAACCTTTTGGTTCCTGAAATAGTGTGTAGACATGGAGGGCTGGTGATGACCACCCCCCGCCCCGACTCTGTGGTCTCTTCAGCTGTCAGAGGCAGACTGGGGTGTGAGTTTGTTTTGTGTGGCTTGAAGATGGGTAACAAGTATGTCTATAGTGTGTGTATGAGTAAGAAAGAGCCTTCAGTCAAGCAGAGGCAGCTCTGAAAGTAAATGCCACTTGTCCATTTCATAAGTATAGTGTTGAGCAACAACCAGCCATGCCCTCCACTCTGGACCTTAAGACTTGTGAAAAAATGTTCACCTCGTGCCACCCGGGTCACATGTGATGTCCATGCCAGTAATGCTCTGGGGAGATGAGCTGGTGGCTGTATGCCAGGAGATTTAGACAAGATATCTGAATGCAGACATGGTGTCTGCCCCTGCCAGCAGTCTCAGTGCCTTCTCCACTTAACTATATTTGTATAGGCTTTAAAATCATTGTGTTTGTCTATTCTTATCAGTCCTCTTGTTTTTAATACTGTGTGGTGAAGCAAAGACTATATTTTTATATTGTGGACAATATCTAAGGTGATTAATTAGTTAATCAAAAACCATAATTCCCCTGCTCTGCTGTTATTGGGAGTCTCATATAAGGAAGCATGGGAAAGTTGTCTGAAGCCATTGGTAGCATTATTTTAGATGTAACTAATCCAAAAATGAGTTCTGTTTGGATGGATGGACCTCTCACACTAAAATGATCTCATATCTGCTATGAAGTAGATTAATCACTTACCAGCTTCTCCATTTCCTGCTCACGCAGCCTCTCCTCTCTCTGCCAGCGGTGGTATTCCAACAGCTCATCTTCATTGTCACTGATCTCAGAGATGCTGTTCTTACGTTCCCGGGTATATGGTTTCATAAGACTCTGTTCTTTGTTGGAGGGTCCTATCACGGTCATGCAGGAGGCTTTTCTTTGGTTATGAGGGCTTGTGACAGGAGATGAACCAGGCACAGAACTCAAGCCTGACATAACGGCACTCCCTGGCCTTAAATGTCTGTATCCAGGATCCTTCTCCAGCCCTGAGAGTGGTGATGGACTCTGGGTGTACAGTGCCCTCATAACTTCTGCTTTTGTCGTGAGCTTGCGATGGCCCTGGGGGCTCTCCGGCGCTGGTTTACCAGTGAAGCCTTGTGAGGCAAGAGAGAAAGCTGAGGCCTGTGATGCTGGAGTCCCTGTTTGGGATGTGTGAGGGCTGATACAAGGAAGTTCTCTCAGGCTGGTGGATCCATTTGGCTCTGGAGTCTTGGGCCTTTGAGGGACATCTACATGGGGGAGATACTGACCCTGTATGGGGCTGGGAGGTCTCTTCTGTAGGGAAGAACCTATTACTCGAGAGCTGGATGGAGCTGTTGGGCAAACTTTGACAGAGGATGATTTGTGAGTTAGGTTAGCGTTTTCTGTGCCCTGCCCTGACCCCCTGCTAGGCAGTGTGGTGCTGGATGTGGCCTCTGCCCTGACATTCCTAAGAAGCTTTGGGCTCTCCAGGGCCCTCTGACCACCATTAGTACTGCTTGAGGTGACAGAGAGTGAGGTCCGTGGATGGGTGACAGGACTGTGTTTGGAATGAGTGGACCGGGAAGGTGCTGGAGGGGTTTTGCTGCCAGGTTGTTTTCTGTTTGTTGTGAAGTTGTTTCTCCCATTGTGCATGTTTGGATGAGAGGGCTGAGGAAAATGTTGTTTGCCAGATCCTAATGATGATGATGAGGCCTTCAGCACCAGGGAGTCCTGGAGGTTCTCTGCTGTGTTGTTGATTTTGAAGTCGCCGTTGCTTGTAAAAGACTGATAGTTCCCATTCAGGACTGTATGGGAGTCTGCAGGAGGGAGACAGAAACACTTGTGCATGGTCATTCCTGTTAAATAAATAAGGAGGTCAAGCACTCTTTAAAAGACAGTTGTAAAAACACACATGAACAAATACACAGTGGAAAGAAACTGCCCTGTGTCAAAGGAGGGTAGCCCATAAAAGAAAAAACATGCATGCCTTAAATAGCGATGCAAACACACACATTCTCACATACTTTAAATAGTGATAAATGTTCTTTATTATGAACCAAACCCAGCAATTGGGATGTTGTGCTCCTCAGTGGTAGTGTAATCCTGCAGGGGTCTGGAGTTTCTAAATATAAAAGCTACAGCCGTGTATCTCATTGAGAGCAGATGAAATCAGGGCCTGGTCAGGAAAGAGTAGGCTATATACACTGGGCAGGGTGTGGTGGCTCTTACTGTAATGTCTAGGCTCTGACAGCCAAGCCATTAAGGTCAGAGGAGAATAGAGTGTAAATATCACCAACGGTACAAGGAAACAGTTAACACAATGATATAACATCATGTAAATGTGACCGTAGGTAGACAAAAAATACAAACACCGGTGGCAAATACTCTAACAATCCTTTGTCACAATGGGGTCACACCTCGAATTAAAACCACAGTTTTAAATGAACCAGATCACAATGTAGGCCGTAGATAATTAGTTCTGAACAGCTATTCCAGCATCCTCCCATGGATAATAATAGTTGGGCTGGAGATACAGAAAACCGGTTCTAGCAATCTTTGTGTCCATTTTGAGAAGCACAGAACAGGTCATTCATTTCTGACTTTTACAAGTTATCATGTGCTTACCTGTGTTTGTTGCATGTAATCTCAGTAACCATTTGTGAGGATGAAACATTTTAGACAACTAATCAAATACAATTTGATCACGTATGTCACCCTACCCCAAAGAACAAAGCCTCGCAGTTCTTTGCATCATGAACTACATCAAATTGTATGATCCCTGTTTAGCATTAGTGGGGAAATCATGCAACTTCTCTTACTTTTCTGTAAGGTAGAGGGAACCCAACATGGTTGTAACAGTTTGTGTGAATAGCTATGTGCCCAAAGCATTTGCTCTACCCAGAAAACTGTACAACCCTCACCCAGCTGTCAGTGATCATTTTATTCCTGGATTGTATTGTATGAATATCAAAGCAGGATCTTTACCAGCAGGCATGGTTTTTGTGTTGCTCGGTCCGTGGCTTCCTCCGGGCATCATGCTCTTCATCCTCAGGGCCTCCTCTGGATGGTTGAAGCGGAAAAAAGTTGACTGACCAAAGCACAGCATGCACCCTGCCAAGAGAGAAGACCATGGGAATAGAAAGGTGTCAGTGATGTGTTGGTGATCGTTTTCAAAAGCCTGTTTATCCTCCTGCAATATACTGACTCCTTAGCTAACATAAATAAACGGAGCAGCTAAACTCACATGAAATTAACCCGTCAGTGAAATCAACCGCTTCTCATTTCCCTGCATTTCCGGTGGCTTTAAAGAATGTGTGATTGACTTTGAGAGTCACACACTGAATTTTGTTTCCAGTTATGGATATTCCACAGGGAGTTTAGTGTTTATTTCCTCCATCAAAGTAAAGTCAATATTGTTCCTTATGATGTAAAAAGAGCAGTTTCTTCCATTCTCTAGGTGTTTTATTCAGCAGTTTGGATCTGTCTACTCGAAAGCACGACAGTCCTTTGAATGAAGCAAAGCCTGAAAGGATTCGTGTTCGGCAGCTGCTGCCTCCACACACCAGCTGATTCAAATGGTTTCATATGACATTCTGGATCCTGTGGAGAGGGGACTGAGAGGGGCGGGACTAATATGCTTTTTTTATGGCAAGTATGCATGTTACAGGAAGGACATGGGAATGTTTTGTTGTTGTGATGCTAGACAGCGTTTTTAGGCATTTAACACTCAGCCAAACTTGGAACTTTCTTCATTTTAAATCATTTGTATCACTGTACATTAGTGTCATGGTAGAGATTAGAGGGAGGTTTTAGACTGCTAAAGACACAATATGCAGCAGTGTCCTACTAATGATCATAGTTATGGTTTATTTAATTAACAAATATAAGATTAAAGATAAACAAGCTTTACCAGCCATGTTATTGCAGTTATTTAAGTCTGTGACTGTGCTACCTTGTGTCAGGCGACAGGGTTTGATGACGGGAAGGCCATCTACCGAGCACTGGTTTCCACATGGGTACAGGGTGATGCTGCCTGCTTGGTTTTCTATGTAGCAATGCTGAGCTGTGATGCCAGGGCCCTGCAGGGGGATATCTGTCCCCTCGCTGCCCAGCGTGGTTCTTCCTGCAACAAGAGAAAGCGTTTTCTCAACGTCAGTTACTGGAGAGCCATGCAGAACTGTGAATACCTTTATGAAGTATTCTTAGGTTGCCATTCAAAGCCAGAGATGATGGGCTTTCATCTCAGAGGTCAAGGGCACGGGGCGGAGTAACCGGTGTAGTTAGCATGTGACTGAATGTTGAACAACAGGTGTTAGTCTCAAGAGATGGGCTCAGCCTTCGCAGATGAAAAGTATCCTATCATAACCACTGACCATTTATTGTTGTAATTTGATTGTCAATTCTGCTTTATCACTGTCTGGGTGTGAGAGCTATAACCCAACACAAATGCACATTATATATTCTCATTTTGTAGCACAGAGGAGAGTCAGTACAATGAACATCCCAGAAGGCTCTAGTCTGGGGTGCTACTGTCACACCCTTGCCTCTCTCATTCTCTGTGGTGTCTAGGCTCTGTGTGAAACAAATGGCGCAAGAAAATCACAAACAAGTGGCAACTGTGGCACAGTATGAATAGCAACAAGTTGATTAGAACGGAATGTATTGTCAGTTTTTGTCAACTCATCGCTCATGTGCTACACAGTTAAAACGTGTTTGTGGAAGCCTCTATACTCCTTATAGGGCTAACAGTCACATACGTTACACATCCTATAGTCAGAACAGACACACACACACACACACACACACACACACAGGTCATCACCTTCCAGCAGTGGCAGCAAAGTGATGGCTGTGCTCAGTCGTCCACTGCCCAAACTAACCAGGTGGGGGCGCTCTGCCTGGACTTTCAGAGACTTTCCTGTCTCAATCAGGTCCAGAGGAGTGCTCTGTCCAAACCAGATGAATCAAAAAACATCTACTGAAATACTTTCTACATGCAGCACATCGATTTTACACATCCTGAAAGTTCTAACACACTGAAGTGGGCATCTATTTTGTGGTGAATCTTAAATGTGAAGAGTACCAGTATGAACAGTAGGAAGTATATGTTTATATGTACTTCATTCAAACTGTACTACAGGCCCACATCATATGAAATGTCTCTTCTCTTCTAGAATAAATGAGGATAAAAAATAAAAATCTGATGGCAACATTGTAACAGAGACATCTGAAAATATCAAGACTAGAAACTTTTACTATACAAGTATGTGAAGTGATGTAAATGCAGCAGCTGTCATATGTGTATTAATACTCAAGAGCCATATTCTGTCATCCTGGAAATAGCATCATGTACAAACCAGATGTCTGTGTGCAGCTGTGTCTAAAGACTGAACATGGTATGATTTTAATGAAAGATTGTTTCATTCAAAGTCTGATTAAAGAAGAATACAACAATTACAGTCCATATGAAAGAGACAGAGCATATCAGCTTTAAATAGTCACTGGCCCAGACTCACCTGTAAGACCTGATGCATCTGTCGTCCATGTTCCACTTTATTCTTGCTCGTGCTGTCCATGTCAGCTGGACGGTCAGAAGCGTCTGTCACGTGAAGATCCTGAAGCAAACATGCACATACAGAGAGAGAAAGGGCAGCAGGAGATGAACGAGAGCACTGGGAATACTGCTACTGCAGTTGTACTACAGTGGGAACATTGCTATCCTTACAAAGCCTGCTGCCCTAGTTATATGCCCATGTGACCAAACCATTATACTGGGTAATTGTTTCTTCAGAACTAGCTCAATCCATCAAGAAAGCTGACGTTGATTTACAGTCATGGCCAAAAATACTGGCACCCCTGCATTTCTGTCAGATAACACCACTTCTCCCAGAAAATTGTTGCACGCACAAATTCTTTGGTATTCTCATGTTTGTTTCTTTTGTTTGCATTGGAACAACACAAAAAGCAGAGAAACAAAGCCAAATCTGTTCCATTCTACACAGAACTCCACAAATGGACTGGACAGAATTATTGACACCCTCAACTTAATATTTGGTAGCCCACCCTTTGGACAAAATAACTGAAATCAATTGCTTCCTGTAACCATCAGTGAGTTTCAGACCACTCTTCTCAGGTCTCAGATTTGAAGAGTTTCATCTTCCAGCTGCTGTTTTGAGATCTCTCCACAGCTGCTCTATGGGATTTAGATTAGGATTCATTGCTGGCCACTTCAGAAGCCTCCAGCTCATTGTCTGGAACCATTTCTGGTGCTTTTTGAAGTCTGCTTTGGGTCATTGTCCTGCTGTAACACTTAGGTTTTGGCAAACTTCAGTCTGGCATTTTCATCCTGGGGGGTTCAGTGTCTTGCCCAAGGACACTTTGACATGTGGACTGCTGGCACCGAGATTTGAACCTTCAGCCTTCTGGCTGGAGATGACTGTGCTACCCACCGCACCACAGTCGCCTCCCCAAAACCGCAATGGGCTGTAAACATCTTGACAATGTTGTGCACAGTGGACACAGGAACAGCCAGATCTCTGGAGATGGACTTGTAGCCTTGAGATTGTCCAGGCTTTTCCACTATTGTGGTTCTCAAATCCACAACACACAATTGTTGAGTCAGCTTTTCTCCATTTTAACTGGTTGTCAGTATGATTTCTATGTTGCCAACACCTGTTGATTGCTACAGGTGAGTTTCATTACAAAGTAAAAGAGCATCACATGCTGGAAATAAAACTATTTCTGATGATTTTGAAAAGTTGTCAGTAATTTTGTCCAGTCTATTTTTGGAGTTCTGTGTGGAATGTACCAGATGTGGCTTTTTTCCTCTCTGCTTTTTTGTGTTGTTCCAATGGAAACAAAAGAAATAAACATGAGAATACTAAAGAATTTATGAATGGAACAATTTTCTGGGAGAAGTGGTGCGTTATCTGACAGACTAATGTTTTTACATATTAGAAAATGAGCACAAACATGGCAGTAGCTGTCTGATATTATGTGAAGGTCAGAACAATTGAGAGTGAGCTCTGCAGGTGCTTGACACATCAGGGGCCAGATCACTACTTCCTCTGCCCAAAAGCAGTCATTGTGACTCACACACTGATCTTACAAACACACACATTTGCTGCAGATTAGATTCAGCTGTACCCTCATCGCACTCACATCAAACGAGACAGGAACAACAACAACCCATGAAAACCAGACATGTCTCAAACAATCACACAGACACATAAGCAGTCCAGATGGCGCACCATATTTTTCTGCTAAAAGCTGGTATCCACATCTTTCACCATCACCCTCATATGAGCTGTGTGTCCAGGCAGCTCTGCATTCCAGCCTAACTTAAAATAGACACAACTGTCTACTGCCTGTTTTGTCTGCTATGGATGAGCAGGAAACTTAAATCCTGTCTTTTTGACCCTGAACTGGTACAGATCAATCATCTAATGCTCTAATTTCTAAATATGATGAACAGGTGGTGACAAGAAAAGCAACATAATTTGTGCTGCCAATCCTCCAAAATTCTAAGTCACAAACTTGGGGTGGAGATATTGTGTCTGAAGGCAATATTTTCATACTGATCAAAGTAAATTTTTGTTCTGTTTCACACCAGCACATGACTGTTGCATCAAAAAGAAATGCTTCAGCACATTGTCACTTCATGCTGACATCACTTATCAATGAAAATTCTTGAAAACAAAAAAGCCAAAAACCATCCATAGCTGCGGTTGCCCCAAGTTTAGCTCTGGCTGTTTGAGACAACACAGCGTTCAGGCTGCGTCTGATGTCACTCCAGATGAGGCTGCTGACTGAGTGAAACCACACATATCTCACAATCATGTCCAGTGTGTGAGTGACACAGAGAACAGAGTGTCCCCTGTGTTCAGCGCTGACACTGGACCTCTCACGCCTCCACTGTCAGCCCACTGGCTGTCAACACTGGCCCTCATTGAGCCACGCACTCAGCCACAGGACCGGAGCCTGGGCAGGGTATTGTGTCTCAGTGTGTCTGACTCACACACATACACATATGCTCTTGCACCCACAAGCCTCAGTAATTTAACGTACACACCCAGGCTGGAGAATAGTTTTAACGCTTGCAAATGCAGGGCCTTCCGATATAACCTGTTATTATGGGGGCAGTTATGCCCTCCAGAGTTGCCATGAGCTTCTGAAAATAGACACTGCCAGCCACACAGTCTGGGCTGCTATGTTTTAAAGAGGAATAACTTCTGCTTAGGACACTGACAAAACAGAAGAAGATACTTATAATTATACAATTAAATGATTGTTTAAAAGAAAAGTGTCATTTTATAAATGATACTATACAAATAGGCAGAAAATCTTTTAAAAGAGGAACAATGTTGAAAAATACAACCAACAGTTTACTTACTTCTCTGACAGACACGCAGCTCTTACCATTTCTCTAACCAACAGCTAAATCCATGATTTTGTCTGAAGCTTATTAATCCATAGAGAAGCGTCCACATTATTGTTTATGTCTTGCGCCCAGCTTTTTTCATTCACTCTCTGAGTTCCTCTGCTATTTCCCTCCTCCCAGCCCCTTCTCCTCCCCATCCCGGTGCAAAGTTACATCCCTGACACACACAGCGCACTGCCCTCCAAAGGACCTATTTTTTGTTGCCTTTCGTTCCTTTTTTTGGCAAATAAGCCTTATGAATGAAGATCTTCACTCTAACACTGAACTCCACTTTCAAAACATAACCTAAGAGAAATGCTGGGTCATAGTTCATATCCTCCTCAGAGTCTGAGGTGTATTCACTCCAACTTCATTTCCATAGAGTGAAACATCAGCTGGACTGCACCAGGTGATCAGAAGAGACTAGAAACCAAGCATCACAGTATATGGAAGAAATAACAAGTGATGCTAAGAGTGGGAGATGGAAAAGACCCTGTGTTCTCTGACTTCCTGCTCCACACTGGAATAAGGGTATTTCCACTTTGGAAAACTGTTGAATAACAATTTGTGACTCCATGAGCCAGCACAGCGGATTATAAAGCCAGTACTTTTATGATGATGGGATAGACAAATACTACATTCCACAGGAAGTGAGTGAACACATGTGAGCTGTCTTTACAGACGTCCCACAGGACTGATTTGGCTTTGACACAGACAGAGACAGTGAAGGAAAGTGGGAGAAAGGCTCCACTATTGATCTCTCAAGGCTTTTCCCATGGTTGGGGGCCAGAGAGGAGAGACGGAGGAAATGAAGTAGATGATGAGTCACTAAGGAAAATACAAAACAAACAAACAGAGGCAGCTAAGTAACCAGATGGACTTAAAGCAAAGTCTGCAGGGAAGGTGGATGCTCTGAGTCAGTCAGCCTCAGTGGTGATGAAGTTACAGCTGAGGGGGTGAAAAGTTTGAGGCAGATTATCACTACATCAGATAAGGCAGTGTAGCAAATGAAAAGCATAATTAAAATCGTTGTCAACCACTTATTAACATATAGTTTATTTTGATTTGGATATTATTTTGGGTATTGTTTAGTAAATGGTGTTAGCTTGTTAAATGTCTTCATAGCCACACCAGTAGTAGTACAGAAGTGTGTAATTCAACAAACTGAGTGTTATTTTGTTGTGTGACATCTTATCTTGTTAATTGGAACACTTTCATTAGAATGTCTGAAGTAAAAAAATTATAAAAATGTGCTTTTTACTGGTCAAGCGGTAGCATTGGTATAGAGATTGTGACATACAATTAGTAAAATATAGATGTGAAAATAAAAGTTCTTGTCTGATAACTTTTTACTACAGGGCTCCATACCTTAAGGTCTAATGGCTTTGCTATAAAAATGCTTCAAGCTACATATTTTCAGATCTCCGCATTAACAACGTGCTCCATTTAATAAACTGTGACACAACAAAGCATTTATTTATGTGTTCACTTATGTGTTTGGCTCGTTGCATTTCAACATTCTGAGTAGTATTGCAGTTTGCAAGCGTTCCTTGGTACGCTATTTTTTGTTATTTAAATAAAAGGAACTGGTTGAAAGCTACAGTTTAATAACGCTGAGTTTTAGTGAGAAGATGATATAATGTTACAGTCAGCTAAAATCATCCAGGCTATGAGGGTAGATTTTTATTTTGATTTGGATTTTAAATGTGTTGGTCTTGCCAGTTTAGTTGATAAATTACAGTATGTAAAATGAACCAGATGGATTGATTAATGTTAATGCTTGTTTTTTTTTTATTATTATTGTTAGCCAATATTATGACTTAATGCAACTTCAGTTTTCCTCTAGGTGGACTTTGCTGTAAGGCTGAACTGAATGTAGTGAAACCTCAGCATTCAAACTGAATAAGGAAAGTTTGCAGCTGCAGAGTCAGGGAGTGTATTTACTGATCGCACTGGTGTGTGGATTTCTTACAGGTCTCGAAATATGAGTCTGGTGGGAGGTTTGGATTGGTCAGCTTGTGTGCCATACAGTGCTGCAAAGTGTCGAAACTGACCTGCGGAGCAATAATCTGCAGATCTCTGTAGGATGTCTGGACATGACATGAGAGCCAGGTGAAAGAATAAAGGAAAGGAAGAACTGTGCAAGAGATGGCTCAGGGAGACTAAGATAACATTCATGCACCTGAAAAATGTATGGGGACCTTTCTTACCCTAAACTGAGCCTCTCAGGCCCTGCACAAATCCTTTTTCTTTCTCTAACACTGACAGCCTAAATCTGATCTTTGACCTTTTGACCTACTCTTAAACATAACCATCTGAATAGAAGGGCTTGTTTGTGGTGCACAGTTTGGGTGAAATGCTACATGAGAAACTCAGGACAAGAAAAACCCTCATCCTGAAGATTCACAGATGGTTGGAGAGATTAACATTTTCTACAGCACAGACCCACAAAGATGCAGATCATTACTGTCTAACATATATTTTTGCCAGACTATCCGAGACACAAAATCTCTCCTGTTATACGTTAACAAATTGACAACAGTCATTGGTATCTTATGCTAGCACTCGCATCCTCATATACTGCAACAATCATCACACAGTACAGACAGCACCAGCTCACAACAAACGCTAGACTAGCCAAACGGTCCTCCGATAGGACATGACCCCAAACGAACACAACAGGAAGCTGCTGATTCCCACCAAACAGATGTAGTTTGCCTGTGTAACATCTGTCCAGTTGTCTCTCATAACCTAAAATGTTCAAAAAAATCTGCATAATAAAATCGGAGGTGGAAAGTAATTAAGTTTACTCAAGTACTGTACTTAAGTACAGTTTTGAGATATCTATATTTGAGTATTTTCATTCTCTGCTACTTCATACTTCAACTTCAACTTCACTACATTTTACAGAAAATATTGCACTTTGTGCTCACTATATTTTTTGATCACTTTAGTTACTTTTCAGACTTCGTTCACCACTGAATAATATATCGGATCTGTCTGCCAATGTCAGAAATGAAGCACGCTGAATGTTATTTTAGTGTTTAAAAGTTAATAATATATTCATTCAGGCACATGTACACCTCACACTCTTTTGGGGAAATCCTTCATCAGTCTGTAATTCACCTAAGTACTGGACACAGGAGCCCTGAAGGCAGCCAGATCCCACACAAGCATGTAAAAGTGTACATTATATAACAGTGATAATGAAAGTATGTAAACTGTCTCATGCACCATGCATGTGGGTCATAAATGAAAGTATGTAAACTGTCTCATGCATGTGGGTCATGTTGAGCTAAAAACTATTGCAAACTGCCACAATAACCTCATTATCTCCTTCTTTCTCCCAGTTACTCTTTACCTCGGTGCAACACATGCACACCATCACCCAGACGTTTTTGTTTCTCATTACCCGAGATGGCCAGGAACATCTTCTCGCCCGTCAGACCAAATATTAAAAATACCAGAGACGAGGCATCTTCACAGCTCTTCTTAAGGAGTGCCAGCCAGTTTTCTTATCGAGGATGGTAATATGCTGTCAGTTCTTCTCTGCTGCTGAGTTTCTTTCAAACTGAAGCATACATCTTTCCACCAGGTCCACCCCTCTCTCCCTCCTCACTTATCCTTCCCTTTTACACTCATTTGAATAAAATCCCCTTTGCATCCTTACATTGCTATTTATCACATGGCAGATTTGTTGTTTCGATCTCCAGGTTTTCTCAGATGTACAAAATGTACCAGTGGGCACCTACTCGCTTGACTTCACCCCTCCCTCTTTTAGCTTTAGGTAACGTTTTCTTTTTCTTTTTTTTGTGTTCCAAGTCGGAATTAAAAAAACATGGAGCAAGTGTTTTCTGCATGAGATCACTTCAAACTAATTAAGGATTAGACATAGCCAAGGGTTGTTGTTTTTTAGACACACCAGTGACATTTCACCAGTTTCTGTCTTAACATTTCTCCTTTCATGCATAAAATTACACAAATAACCTAACCATAGAAAAAGCAGAGATAAACTTATCATCTTCGTTTGCTTTGTCATGAACAGCTGGGAAGAGCAACACCAGTACATTTAGAGCTTTTTGCAGGGTGCCAATTAGGAAATTATAGTTTTCACAGTCAAAGGACAAGTTTTTCCTCTCGTGCTGGAATTTTTTACTTGGCTGTTGGCGTTGGACACGTTGTCAAGGCCCAAGTAATTGGTTCAGTCTGTCCTGGGCTCAGTTCAGACTTGGTGCGCCATGCTGCTTTGGCCACTAATCAAACAGTCAAAGCAGACAAATATCTGCCCAGTCCATTACTGTGAAAATGTTAGGGGTGATTTAAACTGCACGCTGTGAGATGTGAAAGGGAAACAAGTACACCAGCCTAACTCTTGGAGGGACAGATGGATCCTCAAGGTTTTCACATTTTAGTGCCGACTCCAAGGTTTTCATGTCCACTAGGAAACCTTTTTGTGAATCTTTTCTTGGGCTTACGGTGAGGATGCATGAGTTGAACATCTGTTGGAACAATATCCACAGTAAACAGTTATTAAATTAAGGTATGGACATAAACACCACACATACCAAGATTTCAGATGTGAAACCGTTGACCCCTGGTGGTAAAGTCAGTCATGTGCACTCCCACCATGACTTCCTTTTTGTGTACAGCTTGGATTGTTTTTTTCCTTCCAACACTCTTATTTGGCCAGATGGGGTTTGGGGTTTTGTTCTGACCCTTGTATAATTAGACATCTCTTTTAGCAGGACATACTATTCTAACCTAAGTCTCACTATAACCCAGTCACAAATACTTTTAGAGCTAACTTGATTAAAAGGAAGGCAGCAAGCACCCCATGCTGGGCTGAGACTGTATCCAAATGCTGCAGTAACTGAAGCCTTTGTTGCTTCCTGCCCGATTTCTAGCACACGTGGTTACTTAGATGGTGACATCTGCAGTCGGAGGTTTATAGTTTACGTTATGCTTGTTGCTACCAATGAGATGCATTTAATCGCGTCCCTGTGCTCATGCTTTTAAACCGGCTGCAGTTAAGTTTCCCCCAAATGGTACAAGGAAACACCTGGAGCCTGAAGAACAAAGAACCGTTATTGTTTTGTGCAGGCTTTAACCACACAAACGCTTAATTCAAGACATTGGCCTAACGAGTAAAAGCCCAGCGCCTGGATGCAAAACGCCTTTTAGCCTTCATTTGACCAGCTTAAAAAGCTGTGTTTAAGTTTTTCACATTTCTCTTGAACATTTTTAAAGGCACACTGGGTCATTGTTGGCATTTTGAGAGCGTAGTTACCGCATGTCTGCTATTTAGTTCACTGGAGCGATTGGGGAGGCCAAAGCATTATGGCATTAACTATAAAACGAGCAGTGAAATCAGCGCCTGTGAAGGGTAGAACCTACATGATCAACCCACACGGTTTACACTTATCTGAAACCTTGTGTGAACATAGCTGAAGAGTGAATTCCCATTATGTTTTCAGCCAAGCAAAAAGTGCCCTTACATTTCTAATGATTTAAAGTTACGGGATTTAAGAGTTTGCACAGTCACGCTAACCACAGTGAAAACGAACTGCAGGGTGTGTTGCAGGACCTGCCCCATTAACCAGCCGTGCAAGTTAGCAATCATGGCCATCTTTTCCCCAGACATTAACAGCCTAGTTTAGTGTTGGTATAAGCCTGCACAACTATATTAGAGCCTGAAACTCACTTTAGAAGTGTTAGCTTTTCTATTTTTTTTTCTTTTAAGCTAGCTTAACCCAACATCACATCTAATAGTAAATGACCACTTCTATAAATCAAGCGTTTATTAACTCAACATGCCAGAAGTTAAACAAGTCAGCGTTAAACAGAAAAGTTGCTCTTTCAGTGAAGAATGGGTGGCCCTTAAAAGGGCCTTTTGGGTGTTATTAGCCAGCAAGCTAATGTTAATACTCCTGAGACTGAGAGGAGGCCTTCTTTCCAGCCTTGCCGGAGCTCGGTGCAGACTGGCCGGTCTTCTTGGGCAGCAGAACAGCCTGGATGTTGGGCAGAACACCGCCCTGGGCAATGGTGACACCGCCAAGCAGCTTGTTCAGCTCCTCGTCGTTACGAACAGCCAGCTGAAGGTGACGAGGGATGATACGGGTCTTCTTGTTGTCTCTGGCGGCGTTGCCAGCCAACTCCAGGATCTCAGCGGTCAGATACTCGAGGACAGCAGCCAAGTATACAGGGGCCCCGGCGCCCACTCTCTCAGCGTAGTTACCCTTGCGGAGAAGACGGTGAACACGGCCAACAGGAAACTGCAGACCGGCACGGGAGCTGCGGGTCTTGGCCTTGGCTCGGGCTTTGGCTCCAGTTTTGCCTCTTCCAGACATTGTCAATTGTCGAGATACTCTTTCTAAACAAACTACTACTGTTGTAGATTTGTAAGGTATGAGGAAATGACTTCGACACGACCTGGATATAAACCTCTCGCTTTGTCCCGCCCTAAAACGCGATTGGCTTTTAGACTGAAAGTAGCCTAGTCTGATTCGCTGAAAGAGGTCAAAGGAAACAGGAAGTCAAGGGCTATTGGTGTAAATTGTTCTACCTCTTAATCCAATCACAATAGGGTCTACAGAAGCGACAAAGGCGATTGGCTGATGTCGTCTCCGCTTGTTGTGAGAGGGTCAGCCGTAAAGAGGCAGACATAGAAGACCAATCCGGTATTTTCCCTCCAGCTTCAAACTTTTTGGCGCGTTAACAAACTGTGCAGTACCAGTACCAAAGACAATCTAACGCCAGATTTATGAACATTGTGCCTGTAAGTTCATTGGTAAAACGCGGATTCGCCCAGTCATTTAAACATCTTGTTATAGCCTTTCTGCTGTGTATAGCTGGCCTGTGAGAACAATGAAACCCTGGTGCAACCCACACAATGAGCATACACATATAAGACTGATACTCTCAGATGTGAAATTAGTAACTTTAATGTTGTTAGGTATTTTTAGTCAGATAGATATTGGTTAGGTACTTGTTGTATTAGGAATGTTTAGTGTAGACAGGATGTCTAGCTCAGGCTGTTAAATGCTTACTCATTTTCATGAGTTACTCCAGGTTGTTTATGTTCAAGGATAACTAGATAGAATGTTGATTACTGTATGACGTTGAAGGCTAATTCTCAGTTCTTTTGACCAGGAACTCAGAGGAACGAAGCGGACCACTTGGATATATAAAAAATAACCGTGCTGGTTTATTCAAATAATCACAGGTAAAATTAACATTACACGTCCAGGTATCCTCCACCTCCAATACTGCATGCAGGCAGATGAAGCATGAAAGACCCTGAACCACAATAGGCCTATACATTTATCACTTCGGTTGGGCTAGCCCCATACTACACAGGGACGTCAAACCGTGACGTCACCTGATATGCCAGCTTTACAGCTG